TGCGTATATCATTGAAGACGGGTTGAGCTTTTTGATATTGACCTAAATGCGCGCACAAGGTGTCTTTCTCGCTGCAACCACGGTTAGCCTTTCGAGTTAGTAGTCCTATGAATACTATTTGCTTTAGAAATTCATCTTTAAGAGTAAAATTTGTCTAGTGGTACTGGACTTTTTTTTGCTTAGATGGAAGGACGAGCTCACAGCCCACCTGGTGTTAAGTGGTAACTGGAGCCCATAGACATCTAAAACGTTAATGCGCCACCCACCTCGAGATATAAGTTCTAAGGTCTCAGTATAGTTACAACGGCTACCCCACCCTTCGAACCGAAAAACGCATTACTGCTTCACGGTGGAAATAGGCGGGGTGGTGGTATCTACCCGTGCGGACTCCCAAGAGGTCCTACCACCAGTGATTATGCAAATTATAATTTTGCGGGTTTGGTTTTTATTACACGATGTTATTCCTTCACCGTGGAAATCAATCGTGAACATTTGTTGAGTACGTATTTCATTAGAAAAATTGGTACCCGCCTGCGGGATTCGAACACCGGTTCATCGCTACATACGAATGCACAGGACGTCTTATCCTTTAGGCCACGACGACTTATATAGACTGTAGCGCTTCGGTTTTTAGGTTCGATTGTAGCTAGTTTCTTGGTTAAGTTATTTGGTTTTCGAATTGTGGGTGTACTTAAACATATACTCGGAATAATTTTCATATTAGGGCCGTTTAGTTTGGAAATATTTGTTTTGTAGCACGCGGGCAAACGAATTTCCGACATCCGTGAATTAATTGCCTTGAGACAAGAGATTTTAATCTTAATTGTATTGCTTAATGATTATGACGTCATCGTTAAAAGTGAACCGCGTGACTGATCGCGGTAGGAGCAGCCCAGATGATTGTACTTACCACCGCGGGCCCACAACTAGGGAATAATGTCGTTCAATACGTCATTACCGACTGTTAAGCAAATTCTCCCATCTGCATGTAACTAGAATAGTTCCTAAGGCTACAAGCCAATAAGTAGAAAAAAAAAGATGTGTGGTGTCGTGGGACACCGGATAGGAACGAAGTTCCTTATTATAAAAATATTAATTTTAAGTTGTATTCGAGATATAAAGAAAATAATTATTCGGGTAAACATTTTTATTATGATTTTTTTATTGATAAAAATAAAATAAAATAAAAACTACTTTACAAAGTTGCCAACTTTATTTTATTCACAATGATTTATAAAATATATATAATAATAATATACAAAGAAACAGCTGTTTATATGAATAATAACCGTCATCACGTAGACTATACATTAGACACTGTATAGCCATTATACTAAGACTATACATAAATAATAAAAATCTTACGTTACGGACGTTTTTTCCCGGTTAGGGTACCCCTCCGCATCGTCCCATAAGGAACTTTGTTCCAAAAAATATCTCTCTCTCTCTCTCTCTCTTCATAACAAAACTTCACCAAATGCATCATAAGCATTCGCACGTGACAGCATACACTAAAGCAATGACGCAAGAAATCTATTATAACGGTGAAGTTCTTTCATGAACGACCCAGAATAAAACATACTTCAGAAGATATAAACGTCATTCGAAGTTTTAGTACTATGTAAAGTTTTGCCGGCAAATTGCCAAGGCAGTTAAGTGGCAAGTCTAACTTTCCGTCTTCCGCTAGGAAGTTGTGCACTCGACCGAGATGAGTTTAAAACCTATTTGCTTCTCGTCTCATTATTAAAAAGTTTTCCGTTTGACTGTCCTATGTCGAGAGAATTTTATAACCTTTCCCACAAAATATCCAAAGTGTTTTACCTTAAGTATTTTCCTTTTTAAGATCACTTGAGCTTATATATACATGTAAACTGTTGTTTTGGCCGCATCTGTTTATCTAAAATAAATTAATGTGTCTTTTTTATTCGTGACTTAACCGTGACAATATCCATGTACCCATGACGATACATAGAAAACAAACAATCATGAACGAAGGCGAGTTTTTTCTTTCCTTTTTCTTTTCACAGTCTGTTTATTGAAATCTATATTTGAGTCGTCTCTTATCAAAGGTGGCAATCTGTGCATTTGGACAAAAAATTTTTATTGATATGTCAATACAGATTTATTTGAATATAATCGTCTCCTTCAAAGAATACGGTTCAAAACCTGCATTAAATAAAGGTTAATAGTTAACCTGTTATTTATCTAAGATGTCGTTCTGAAGAGTTTTGTGACTGCCAATGGAATACAAAGTCAATAATTCGTTTTTCTGATTTACCAATCATTGTCCAAAAGTCAGATTGCCGCCTTTGATAATAGTCGACTCATTTAACATAAACTTTATCAGCGTTTATAACACTTTTTTTGTCTATAGAAAACCAAGGACATACTAAGAAATCGAATCTCTCATTTTTGATTCTAACACCAAAATCAAAATGACCAATTTAATAAATAATACAATTAGTAATAGCTCAGAACCAAGAATGATATGTATAATTGCCCTAATTGTTACTTATTGGGTTCGTGAATCTCAATTTACATTCATTAAACATTATTTGTCTTAAATGACATCACCGATGATCCCATACATATATCTACCTATACATATATCTAGACAAATGGACGAGCTCGCGTTCAGTGTGCTTAGTGCGATTTTTTAACGTTCTCGATAACGTAAAAGTTAACAAAAAATTTGTATGGAGTTCGAACGTTTGGCACTAGAGGCGCTGTTCCAACTCCATACAAATTTGAGTTAACTTTTACGCCATCGAGAACATTAAAAAACTCGCACTAAGCACACATTGCTCGCTGAATTGGTGTGTAAAAAATACATATATTTCCTTTAATTCGAATTTGGCCGCGCTGATGGAAAAGGACTTCGGGGTAATGTGGGCTGTGTATGTAATAGCGGTACCACCTTCTGAGGCTAAGCCCCATTAGCTCGGCCATCACACAAGGCGAAACCAAAATGGCCCCATGAGGTTACTGGCAAATAAGTATGAAAAGAACTATGGCGTTGAGTGAACTAAAAAGTATAATGAATTTAATTTGTTATTAAAATTATGGAACTACCCACATTACAATGAAATAGACTTTAAATGTCGTTTCTTTGTTGCTACGACCACGCTTTTAGGACCATATTCTTCATATGAAATGTTCTCCAATTCCAAGACCTAAAATAAAATGGCGTTCTGTTCAAAATGAAACTTCCTATAGAACATTATTGAGCATCTTTCGAATATGAGAAGATATACGGATCTGTACATTGCACATTCTTCCCAATTTGGTGGATCGCAAACCGTTTATAATCATACGAATAGTAAAAAAAGGAAATACCGCTATTTTTGTACAGAATGGATTCATGTTGCTTACATATACTGGTAGACAGGCGTTAGTTTTAGAGCAGATCATAGAGATAGACAGTTCTTTACCTTAATAAAACAGAATATTGCAATAAAGTTCTCGTCATTGAAAAAAAATTTTTGAATTCACTTTCATATTGTAAATATTCGAAGTTAATAAATAATATTATTAATCCTACATTAAAAGGTAATCCTAAAGTGGCTCTGTCAATTTGTTAGAATTTCATGTCCAAGCCACTAAGTCGGTTTTAAACAAAGTTCGGTATGAGATTAATTTGAAACCTGGCAAAGAATATAGACAACTTTTTCAGTCCACTATTAAGTGTAGTTGTACGCACGTGAAACTTCAGGAAACTAGTAATACACATCAAATAAAATATTACTGTAATATAATGGTAGTTCAAAATTGCAATCGTAAATGAAGAGCACCATATTTACGTTTATTGTCTCATCAAAATATGTTTAAATGGTAGTAATGTTACTGTTGCAATGTTTGTAATTTAAATTATAATTGACGGCACAGCGTGCATTGGAATTATAAATAGTTTAAAGTATGTACTTGTATCTCGTGAACTGTGCTTCGTATAATATAATAAAATGTATTTATGTATCAAACCGTATGAATTAAAATCGGAATTTGGACATTAATTCGAAATCATACGGATCCGGCGTCATCTGGGCTCTTGGCCCTAAAAGCCATAGTCGAAATATAGTTTATTGTTCTAAATTAGCTTCTACATCAAGGTTCGGTGAGAGGGGCTTTTGACTCTTGAATTTTAGTCAAACTTATGAACTATGAAAGAATATTAAGATGCAATTGAATGCTATATTAATTTTTACACTCGTTAATGCATTTGGGTCTTCGATTATAGACTTCATTAATTTCATGAGCATGACCAAACCGCGGTCCGATTTTAATTATGTTTATTAGTTTCAACTGTTGTAAAGGAAAAGCTTACGGCGACGAACTTGAGATTAAGAATTTACTCAATGTACGAGACACGCTACAAGGTAAATGTCGTCACCCCACTGGCTAGATGGAATCAATTATTTTCACTAGCGGTAGGGTGTTTTGACCCGCACGGGAAGGTCCCACACACTGTCTTCTGTTTCTGCCGTGAAGGAGTAATGCGTTTGAAGGGTGGGGCAGCCGTTGTAGCTTAGAACTTAGACTTAGGACTTAGATCTCAGGTTGGGAGGCGGCATTTACGTTTTTTGTTTATGAGCTCCGATAACCATTTAAAACTGTTAAAACTATATAGAGCAGGGGTTCCCAAACCTCTTTTGTCTACTGCCCACTTTGAGAATAAATTATTTTTTATCGCTCCCATTTTTTCACATACCTAAAAACCAACTATAGTGAGAGTTTAGTCGGTGTCTAAGAGTCCTCTTGGATGAAATTACAAATCGCCTCCCAAGCTTCTTCACAACGCTCCTTTTTTTTTGGGTATGTTACCGCCCTCCTTTGGGCCTGCAGCGTCCACAAGGGGGCGTTATCGCCCACTTTGGGAAAGGCTGGTATAAAGCATTATGTCATGTCATCAATTCAAAAAAAACGTGACGAAATGGGATGTGGTAATTTAAATAAAGCTGCCTAAAGTTTTTCATGTTTTAATTTTAGCATTATTATAATTCCAGGTAGTGTTGGTGTTCATTCTGAGTATAGCATCGCTCATCATCTACTTCATTGACGCATCCAGGTATTAATCTAAATTTTTTAATTAATAACGAAAACGATTTTTTTTATGTAGCCAAAATTATTAATTTGTTATATCTTGCAATAACGCTGAAATAAAAGGAATACGTGAGTTGAATTCCTAATAAATGTGGTCACGGTGTTTTTGCTGATTATAGTCCAATATGTGTTTTTTTTTAGCTTTTATGTTTTTCTTTTTTTTTCTTTTTCTTTTATGTTTCGCTGGAATTTTGTATTTAGATTATTGGCTTTAACGTGGACTGTTCGTGAATGTTATTAGAGATCGGGGTCGGGGTGGATTGCTGGCAACGGGATGTAAACTGCACAATGCATCAACACAATACACTATTTCACACACTAAAATCTCTTTCACGTCTACGTTTCTGTTTGTATCCTCTCGCTGTCACGAATCGACCCCCACCTCTTTAAGCCGATTAAATCTAACGCCATTTCTAAATGTATTTTCAGTGAAGAAGTCGAAAGATGCCAGAAATGGAGTGACAATATCACTCAGCAAATCGACCTTGCCTTTAACATATTTTTTATGGTCTACTTTTTTATACGAGTGAGTGATTCCATTATAAATTAATTTATGCTTAATTTAGTTAATGGAATTTTTTAATGATTTAATAAATTAATGTTTCAGTTTATAGCGGCTAGTGACAAACTATGGTTCATGCTCGAGATGTATTCGTTTGTAGATTATTTCACGATACCCCCATCATTTGTATCGATATACTTGGACAGAACGTGGATAGGTAAGATCTTTTACTGACATTTATAATTGACACGTTGCGCGTCATGGGGCCAACCGGTGGACCTAACGTACTATATATAACATTCGGGTCGAGCCAGAAAAAGCAAATCAGTAATTTTTCTACTGGTGGTAGGACCTCTTGTGAGTCCGGACGTGTAGGTACCACCACCTTACCTATTTCTGCCGTGAAGTAGTAATGCGTTTTGATTTGAAGAGAGGGGCAGCCGTTGTAACTATACTGAGACCTTAGAACTTATATCTCAAGGTGGGTGGCGGCATTTACGTTGTAGATGTCTATGGGCTCTGTTAACCACTTAATACCAGGTGGGCTGTGAGCTCGTCCACCCATTTAAGCAATACAAAAAAATTGCGATAATTTGCACGGATGATACAAATTATCGACTTTTACAGTCTAGTTTTTTAAATATTTAAAAGGCTACTTATTATATTCTTGATAAAAACTACAACTTTCTATTACATTTGAAAACAAAGACACTCGGTTCGGCTAAAAGCCTACGGGGCTCACTTCCATACGCGTTTTGTTTGATAGCTGCAATCTGTGGCTTATAGGAAGCGTTTACGTTGGAACCCTCACACGGCTCACGGGTGACCCACATGACCTGAATGAAAATACTCGATTTTTCATGTGGCGTTCAACGTGTTAAGCAAACGACTTAGTTTACACATGTTTAAATTTACGGCAGAGCATGCCTCCTACCTTCCTACTTTTTAACATTATTAGAAATGATATCGCCTCTATTGACTAATTAGGTAGGAATCGGTAGGAAGGTTAAGTTAGCGAACGAGATAAGGATTACTACAGCGTTAAATGTTTAAGTAAAGGCTGGATTCTCTTGGAGCCTTTTACTAGCCACATAAATAAATATATTTTATGATTATTTGAACTTAGAGATAAAGTAAAAAGAGCATAAATTTATTATTTAGAGAGTTCAAGTAATAAGCTGTTACTTTTTAAATATAGGATTGTATTATTGTACCAACACAAAATTGGGTTTAAAATTTTGTATTGACAGGATATTTGTCTGTATCTACGATATCTACAATCCAACGTAACAAAAAGTCAGTGAACTTCTTCAATGAAATTATTGTTACATTGGATCTACTACTAGCATAAAATTCAATACTAACGACATCGTAGCGTGAACATTTGGAGGAATCATCAATTACATAGCCGTTCTCAATGATATTACAACTATTTCAACATGTGGTTACTGTCAGCATTCATTTTAAAATTCTAATATTCGTTTTATCCGATAACTTACGAATTTATTTGTTTCAGGTCTGAGATTTCTCAGGGCTCTGCGTTTAATGACCGTGCCTGATATTTTGCAATACCTCAATATATTAAAAACGTCAAGCTCAATCCGCTTAGCGCAATTAGTTTCTATATTTATATCAGTATGGTTAACAGCCGCCGGTATTATTCATTTGGTAAGCATTACAAAGATAGTAATCGTTTTCTCTGATTTTTTCACGGAGCGTAAAATTGTCACACTTTGGGTGTTTTTTGAACAAATACAGGGCTATTGCTAAGGGAAGTTATAAGTAATTAGTGTTTATAAGTTATAAGTAGTAAGTAATGTGGGGAGAAGAGATCTCCTCGTATCCATCGTGTTCTATTTACTGAAATTTTGTCATGATTCAAACAAATTTCAGCCTAATAATAATTGCTTAGTTTCTAACAAGATTGATTCTATGTAATGTAAAAGTAATTTTTATTGCTATAATTTTGATATTATGATTATTATTGGTGATGAACTTGATAAAGATAATTAAAATTAAAATGAGTGATATATATTTTTTGAGTGAAACAAGGGGTTTCAAATTATTATTTTTCTAATTTCAGCTGGAAAACTCAGGGGATCCGTTGGAATTCGCTAACTCACAGAAGCTCTCATACTGGACATGCGTGTATTTCCTTATAGTGACGATGTCCACAGTAGGTTACGGTGATGTGTTCTGTCACACTGTACTAGGCAGAACCTTTTTGGTATTTTTTCTCCTCGTTGGTTTGGTAAGTTTCAGTTTTTTTTAAATCTCTAAATGAAATATTAATTAATTCCTTTTAAAAAGTCTTAAAGACAAATTTAATGATTACGGATACAGTTATATATTAATATTTGACAAAGAAATGCAAGTCACTAAACCATCGTCCTCGTGAATTACGATCGAGCTTGTTCTCTTTGTCCAAAATAAATCTTCGCAAAAGACTTGCAATTCGGTGTATGAAATTTTGAAATGTTTTAACAAAGCAAAAGGAAATCTGAATTTAACGAAACAACACCGGATAGTTGACACTTGATTTGCTAGATAAACATAATATACTGGTTGACGCACAGCTCGTTGTTGTTCGTAAGCCTGACTAGTGCACTGTCATAGAGCATGTCAAGTTCTCCGGGTAACGTTCGGGAGACGCCGAGCGCCGCCCCCTTACCGCCCGGGGCCGGGGGGCAGCCGCTGCTTCAACACTCAGTGTCCAATCTAAACAGCCGCTTCAACTAGACCGACCGTATTATTTGACTCACCGACATACCGAATGAGCTTAATTTAAGCGAGTGCATGGGTGTATTTTGTTTTTCTTTTGCTTTGTTACGTGACAATGGCGTTGTCGTCGTGGTGCCGGATGACCGGTCGTAGTGCCGCGATCGAGCGGAGGCGGTCCGGCGAGGAGCCCAGGCGCCCGGCACAGCGCCCCGGAGCCCGGCGCCGCCCCCCCCTCCCACCTCGCGATCTCTGCATGCCGCACCTGTGCCTGGCTGTGTTCAGTTGCTCACATCACCGTTAGACACACACTCGTTCCTTTTTATTTTATTTTCGCTCCGCTCCCGGCCAAACTATATGACTGCGTCACCGTAGTACGTGTACAGAGTACACCGAGATCCAGGTGGACATTGTCGTGCACCACGCGATGGTGTCCGCGTACGCTCGGACGCTTTCCTCGATCGGCACCGTGGTCTGTTGCAGGCAATGTTCGCTAGTAGCATTCCCGAAATTATAGAGCTGGTAGGAAGTAGGTCCAAGTACAGTGGCGAGCTGAAGCGTGAACACGGAAAAAGGTATCAATTTGACGTTTAAACTGGACGCCGAAAGTGGAGGCGATTCATTTCGCGGCACGGCGCTGTTTCGGCGCGTCTGATCGACATGGGTCGCCCGATCTCTCGGAGACGATGTGAAATCATCACCTTTAAGAAAGCTTGCTCAGTGCCGTCAGATGTATTGTGTCATCTACTCGTGAGCACTCGACGGTCCAGCGGCGGAAAGCGAGTGGCGTTTTGCCCCCGCCCTACACGTCTCCGGCCGCTGTAGGGCTGAGGCGAGCGCTGGCTCAGCATTCCGCCACAACGGCCGACCCGTGCTCGCGCTCTACCCAGCGTCTATACGAATGCTCACCGTTTTAGTTCAGGAACCGGTCGAATCGATTTCTTTTGAGTTCCTCTCATCGATCAGTTAGCGTATGTGTCCTTTAGGCTTTGCATGCACCCGGTCACGAGTCCCGTCACGGCTTGCGCCGGTCACAGCTCCCGCCGCTAGCGTAGCTCGACACGGCACCCGCGTCCCGCACACCCACACACACGCCACAGCCACCACTCACAGCCGCAGACAGACGACACTCGAGCCACAGCCTTGTGCGACGCAAGGTACGCGGCCGCGGGCGGGGCGGGGCGGGACGGGGCGGGCGCGCGGGGCGGGGCTGTCGCTCACCTCTCGGTGTTTGCTGTGTATCGTAGGCTGTGTTCGCCAGCTGGATCCCCGAGATCACGGAGCTGGCGGCGCAGCGGAACAAATACGGCGGCCGGTACAACAAGGACGTCCGCCGCAGGTACCCTGCTCTCACGCCCCCGCTCCACGCGGCTTCCTGCCTTCCCACCTCTCACGGTTTCGATCTTAATTGATTGAATGCGGAGTTTGCTAATGAAATTTATTAATCCTTCACTAGAATCGGTCTCTCGGTGCCGTGGCGCATGCTCGAAGAGTTAGCTCCCGGCGACCGCGCCCCTCTCCCGTAATAGAGAGACAGGCGCGCGGTCGACCGACGCACTACTACATGCCTTTTCGTAAATTTGACACGAGATACCGTTGAGCTTTTGATCCTTCTAACGAGACTAGATTCGGAGAGAGCCGATGTAAAGTAATGTAATGCTGTCGATGAGTAGTGTTTGGTTTGTTCGCTTGCACACGACGCCTGACGCCACGCTGTAGCGCTAGGTCCGGCACCTCGGCACGCGACACACAGCCAGTGCCCGCCGCGCGCCGCCGCCGCCCCGCGGGAGCCGCCGGCCCTCCGCCCCGCGACCGCCGGACGGGCGGCCGCCGGCTCCCGCCTCGCACTCCTCTATTCGATCTCAATGTCTTGTTTTATCTGTCGGCGTTTAGGCGATATTTGCCAGTTGTATCCCAGAGATAATTGACTTAATCGGCACTAGACCCAAGTACGGCGGCACCCTCAAGAATGAGCGGGGACGCAGGTGAGCCGCTGTCTTCAATCCGTTCCTTTGAATGAATGTGTTCCGTATTGTGATATCTATTCTTCCTTTTCCTCTCTTAGCACGCTTCTGTGTTCTCACTTATCTTAAGCGGGACTCGAGTCCCGTGTGTTGTCTTTGTTTTTATGAGTCGATATTGATGTAACGTACCTTTGAATTGATTTGAGTTCAGTTGATATTTAGCGAACAGATAGTGGCTAGTGTTTACGCTCGTCATTATAGGTATCATGATTATGTTGTGTTAGTGATCGTACGTAAAGGAATGTTAAATGTAAAGCTTAGTAAAGAGAGAGTTGTTAAATGTTGGGTGGTACCGTGTACCGTGCGTATCGTAGTGAGTTGTTTGTTGGAGTTGTGGTGTGCGAAGCGAGGCGTCGACAGCTCCTCGCGGTCGCGTGGGCGCGGCTGGCGACGCGACGCCGGCCACCCGGGGCGCTGTTGATGCCCCCTGTCCCCACCCGCCGCGTCCCACCCGCTCCTGCCTGCACGAACACTTATGTACTCGTATTTGATGTGAGACCCTCTTCACTCTTATTGTTGTGCCATTTAATTTTGACTCGATCCCCCTCGGTTCAATTAGTGTTTATGTATTTACGTAATTTTGAATTTATAGAGCGTGGCAAGGCTGTGTGCATTGAGGACATTTTCAACGCAAAACTAGTTTAGCATTTTGACATATCATTGACATGATTGAATCATTTTAGAGATTTTAATCATTTCAGTTGTACTAAATTTTTCAATATATTAATAATGCAAATAATAATAAAAATTAATTAAAAGATATTTGTAAAATCATTTAAGAAAGAATGTAGTTTTCAAATAACGATGACAATGAGATCAGTTCCTTTGCCACACCTTAGATGAACATATTTAGTTTGCATGTCCGTAAGTAGTTCCGAGGTTTGCATTTTGTTTTTAACTATCCTTTCTGAGTTGTGATGATGGTTTTAACTGTGCTCGAAACCCTGGCTTGCCGTTTCTTATTTTGGATGAATGTCATTAACCTCCATCATTGTACCGACACAATCGACTCGTAACACTTACCACTATCTCATTTAACATTCGAATTGAACTCAATATGGAATTGTCGAGACCACTCAAATACTGAGAAAGGAATACTACGTTCTGATTCATATCGACAATGAAACCTTTCCCCAAAAAGAGACGCAAGCCGAGACGTAAATAAATGATTGAAGAGCTACATTGTGTATCCAAGCACATCGCCACTGTAAATTCTTTTTGTTGAATCTGTTTTATGAAAACCTTTAATTAATAATTGATAATATGAAATTTTAAGTGCTTGGATACCGATTTTGTAGATTAATTGTGTAACTTGAAGTCATATTATTAGTTAATTTTATATTAAAATTAATTTAACTCGGTCCCGGCTAGTGTGTCGTATTCCTGATCATTCGATCGCGAACTTCATGATTATTTTATAGTACGTAGATAGAAATATACACAGACCTGAACGAAACTGAGCTTTCTAGACATAAGATGGTTCATTACTTTGTGGTTTTCAAAATGAATAAGATAAAATATTAAACGTACTTTGTCGTCGATCAATAAAGAGAAAGAAAACACGTCATCCACAAATTGATGAACAATTCTTAAGTAAATTATGGAGGTTATTTTATAAATGCGACGTCCTTGTTTTCATTAAACTTAATATATATTTTTTTGTTTTCGTCATAAAACTCTGTTGTAACTTACGTACTAATGTTTTTATTTCAATTCGGCATTAAACAAAGGCGTTGCTTGAGCAATAGTTTAGATCCTTCGTGCTTCTTTCACTGATCGTTTTGTTTAACCCTGTCGAGACCCTGTTTCTTGTTTTGAGTTCACCCGATGTCTTGCGCGGTCCCAGGTGTTAAATAAAACTTCAAATTGCTGTACTATTTTTTATCTTCTCTTCCTAATCTTCTACTTGTAAACTAAGAACGCTTCTTCTCAATATCGCTTCTTCAAGATGTTTACAACGAAACGTAAATTATCATTTTAATAATATATTATGTAAGTTGAAATACATGAAATGGCTAATTAACTTTCGGTAAATATAAAGCTTTGATATTTAACGGATACGCTTCGGAAGCTTATTTTTCGATTTGCAATTATTATTTTTTTGTAGCTGCACTTTCCGCACTTGACAATGGATACATGAAATTATAATAAATATTTGGATTTTCAGGCACATTGTTGTATGTGGCCATATAACATACGAATCAGTGAGTCATTTTTTAAAAGACTTCCTACACGAAGATCGAGAGGATGTGGATGTTGAGGTGGTTTTTTTACACAGGTGAGTAGGTTAAGTTCGAATTCAGTTATTCGCGGTGATTTATTAGGTTTCTCTGGAATTAACTATAAGATAACTATGGAAATCCCAGTAATCAGTCCTTTAGTCTTCTTCCGGGCGTGATTTAAACTACTTGCGGTGGGTGCACCTGGCGTTACTGATGTCCGTAAGCGAACCTCATACGACCAAGTGAAACAGGCATTCAAATCTGATTAAGTAATGATTATTTTGGTCTGATAAATGTGAAAATAGCTGTTGAAAGTAACGGGGCGGTTGTGTGAACGTGATCGAACGACGCTTTCAGAAAAGAGCCCGACCTTGAGCTGGAAGGCCTACTGAAGCGTCACTACACCACCGTCGAGTTTTTTCAGGGTACAATGATGAATGCCGTCGACCTTGAACGAGTCAAGGTTAGAGTAAGACAAATAGCGCAGGCAATTAGACAGCACGGCCATAATTATTCATTAAAACGCGTCTAAGTGAATCAATACTTTTTTTTTTAAATATTATATTCATACGAGGGTAACTCTTTTTCTGTAAAGGCGCTGTTTCATAGTCACAGTAGGATTTTATATCACTAACTTTTATCTTGTGATTATTTTGACGCAATCATTGCTCCACACGGCGGTGCGGCGTAGCACCCTCTCACTACTGCGTACTGCTGGTAACGATAGTTTGTGCATGAGAGCCCCGACGGGCGACGGGCTCGTCCCGTTACCGGCCCGCGGTGTTAACTGAGCGTTGATGACAGGAAACCGCCCGACCTGGAGCTCGAAGGCCTGTTCAAGAGACACTTTACCACTGTGGAATTCTTTCAAGGCACCATTATGAATCCAATCGACCTGCAAAGGGTAAAAGTAAGTAGCAATGTACGCACGGAAACGTGACATATCGGGCGTGGTGTCGGTATTAAGCTGTACAGACTGTCATTTCTCTAGAAGTAGAGCAAGGGCTCGTTTTGTGGGCTGTAACGTGGCGCTCTAAGGCGCGCTGTACTTCCGATGTGTTGGTTTGAGAGCTCTCCGCGTGTGGCTATCGCTGTTGTGTGTGCCAGCCCTGGCGAGTCGGGTCCAAATCTCAGCAGTTTCCTTCGCCGCGCCCCAGCCGCGCACCTTCCGCCGTATCTATCTGTACCAATACTGGGTGTTGTTTGCGATGTGGCCCGTTTGTTCTAATCGATGTCGATCACACTGTACTCACTGACGCATTGGCATTAACGGCTGAAGGAGGAAGTCTTCCGTTTTCAAAATTTTACACACTACAATCTCAAAGCAGTACAGTTATCGATTTTCGAATGGTATGCGGTAAGTCTGTCGATGCACGGCTTCGGAATGATCGTATTCTTGCATGTATTAAACCTTACCATTTCACCTGCTTGTTGTTGAACGAGGTTATGAATGTTACTCGTTAGTTCCTTAGATGTTGTAAAATAGAGTTCCCCGTCGAAGTGAAACATCCCGTGTTCTGCTTTATGCATGATTTAGTTATAACGAACATTCGCTTGAAACGATTTACGTAGAATTTTAAATTTACCTAATACAATATAGATACGATTAATGTTATTTAGAATTAAACTAATGATCGTGAAATACGAGATCTTAAATTCGTTTCAATAAATTACCAAAAATAATTATCGTTTGTGGTGTGTAGTCAGAGATAACTGAAACACGCACTAGATATCCGCTAAAATAATTAAAAACTTAACGAAATTAATAAATAAATAATCCGAACTGAGCAGTTAATAATAACAACATCTAGGTCCATGAAGCAGATGCTTGTCTGGTGCTAGCCAACAAATACTGCCAGGATCCGGACGCTGAGGACGCAGCCAATATCATGAGGGTCATTTCTATCAAGAACTACTCCGACGATATCAGGGTCATCATACAGCTCATGCAGTACCATAATAAGGTTCGTGTTCACTGCGGGTAGCTTGTATTGTAGCCACGAACGCCTCAGCTCTGAGCTCCTGCGTTTTTATACTGCATCACAATCCCTTCCGTTTTCGATGCTAATTGAAAAGTTCCAAAGTATTGAAGCCGTCGTCTGGAGACGGTAAATCGCTAAATGCGACTTTTGTCTACATTCGTCTGATCTGTGTGGGGATTGGTAACTATTTAATAAACACCAGGGGCCGTTAATTCATTCACACGCAATAAATAAATAAAAGGTGGACAATGACATCCATGCTGTCAACTGTCATCTGCCACAAGAGACGCGTCCTTTATATCACCCATTTACGAAACAATATCAAAGCCTGCAGACTGAAATTCGACCATAATCGATGAAGCCCCAAGATTTACATTCATTCTATAGTAGTTGATTTGTTCTGGTTCAGAAACAAAACTTTCCAAATTTTGTTAATTGAAATATTAAATGTATTTATTATCTATGTTGATAACGCTACCGTTTGTCAATGGCAAATTCGGTTGACGAATAGATTTTATAATGATTGTCAATTACCAGTTGTCAGATTGTTTTTTTAAGGGTTTTATGACCTGGTAACCAAGACCTTTAAGTCATGTCTTATTTTAATTTATATTCTTATTTTTATTAAAAATGATAGGTAATATGTAGTAGTAGTAGTAGTGAAATGAAATTAAATGAAGATGATTAATTTGAGTCATAAATCAACTTGCAATACAACTTGCAATAACAAAAAATGGTAGTCATTTACTGAGATTTTTTCAATGGATTTTTTGGAGAATCCCGAGAAGTTACGTCCAACGGCTTTGTTTCATTTTTCCACATTGGTAGGCACTTTCACAGATAAGAAACAGTTAATAAACCACCGTTATTACACATTTAAACCTGAAGAAACACTAAATAGACAAAATAAAACAAAACACATAACTTCACTCCTCTCGTTCCCGCCAAAAAGTTCTTGTCAACTTCTCTTGCCAATTTGAAAAGATAAAGGAGGCGTTTTAAGCTTTCGCATCTGTCTACATTACACACTATTATTTAATGAGGTCTTGCCGTGTTTTCCGTTTAAATAAAATGTTCTTAAAAGAGGATTTTTTTATTTTAGATATTTTTGTATGTTTTATTGCATAATATATTGTCAGAGTCAGGTACATTACAACGTAAATTTTCATTTCACAGGCCTATCTGTTAAACATTCCATCATGGGATTGGAAGCAAGGAGACGACGTGATTTGCTTGGCGGAACTTAAACTCGGCTTCATCGCCCAGAGCTGCCTCGCGCCTGGCTTCTCGACCATGATGGCCAACCTCTTCGCCATGCGGAGCTTCAAGACGGTCAGCTCTAGTATTTTACTCTGACTGACTGTAGCATAATATCGTGTTCTCGCATTAAAACTGTATAATCTCAAAACTTACTAATTTTACAGGAGAGTGTTTTAAATGTTTAACATGTGATATTTTTAATATTAATCATCTTTGCAATATTTATTTTTATTTTTTAACAGTTACATTATCTGTCTTTAAATTAAAATAAAATGATGTATTAATTTTGTTAATAGTAGTCAAAATATAGGTCAAATAAAAAAATGAAAAAAACTAAACGACGCTCTTTGGACAGTATTTATGAGAAAAATACTGGTGATACTAAATGATTCTGCATATTAACTCAATTTCGAATATTTTTGGAAATTCTATACTTTTAATGCGAAAAGACGATATAATGTACTTTGGAGATAAATGCGTTTTAACAAAATTTGCGAAGCGGACATTTAAATTCCACGTTACTAACATCGCGTGAACAATTACTCTCGACGCTTTGATTTCGAGTTCGTTAAAGGCTCTGACAGTTAATTTAAAATTAACGACCGTCCTCATAAGGAACAGATTAGGCGTTTGTCTCCAAAACTGCATGAAGTTAACGAAATCTGCGACATTTTCACAGTCCCAAGACATGGCTATATGGACTAATGACTACATGCGAGGTACCGGGATGGAGATGTACACAGAGACCCTTAGTCCTACGTTTATCGGGATGCCTTTCATTGAAGCAGCCGAGTAAGTGGGCGCTCAGAGACGCAAACAACATGACGTACGACAAAGTCACACAACGTTTTTTTTTGTTATTCAATACCGTACCAGTGTTTGAGCATACCATACCGCCACGAATGCGGGAAAATCGTCACTAAACGATTCGCAACGCTTCATCATTTGGTGTTCTTTTTTTATTTGTTTGCCCGCTTCATATGTGATTCGAGTCTCAATGTTTTATGTGTAATGGTTTTAGAGGTACTGCACTGAATAATGCCTCGACTGGTATAGAGCGAATAAATAACACCCGTTGGCTTACTAATCGTCTGGTGGTGTGGAAGGGACGACAGTGGCCGCCCGCGCGAGACTAACGAAGCAAAGGCTTTAGCGTCTTCTGTTGGTTGATTGCAGTCCCCCGACACTCAAGCCTGGCAGAACGATTACCTGCAGGGTACCGGATGCGAGATGTACACTGAAACTCTGTCGACCTCCTTCACGGGAATGTCGTTCCCTCAGGCCAGCGAGTAAGCCCCTCCTACCCTGGCCCCGCCTGCACTCGCACCGTAGACACTGTGTGCCGAATCGCTAACCCTTAGCTATTTGAGTGTTAACTAAACTTTGTAGACATGCATCTCGTTGGCTCAATAAGATATATAGTATTGGTTATTACCAGGTTTCTGAATATACCTTTTTGCATGAGGGGTCCATGATAGATGGCTGTACTTTTGGTTGGATTCATTTAGATAAACCTTTCGTGAATATTGATCAAGTGCTTCAGTACCTTTTGTCCGATTTATGGTATTGACATTTGTTATTGACAATCAGTATGATTTATAGTGTAATTGGTAATCTCATACGATTCGTTTTTTTTTTTTTCGAATTCCTTCAGTGCAGTGACGTTTCTTTGGCAAGTACTTCACTGATATTAAAATTACTAATTGCATCAGTGCCAGTTTGCATGATAACGTAAATAGTTCAACTGTCTTTGACTTTTTTTTTTCAACTGTCTTTGACCTGCCACACCGCTTTGCGTGTCCAATACTTTATTAATACTACTACTAACGCATTTATAACGTACCTATTCATTTCATCATGTGAATCTACCATATAGACATAGCTACGATTGAACGTCATTGTAATAATTGTAAATAGGCATGCTTTAACAAAAACCGACTTCAAATAGAAAAAAAAAAGATATTCCAAAACAGATTAATGTACAATAAAAACAATAATCATCGAAATCGGTTGGCGTGATATTGAGTTATTGAGTTATTCATCTATTTGTCGGGCACGTACTTAATGCAAATTAAAGACTTATATGGTTTTCTGATGGATACCATTATCAGAACTGGACTAAATTGTAATGGGACTACACGGGAAACGTCAGCTTTCTAATAAAAACAGAATCATCAAAATCGATTCCCCCAGTCAAAATTATCAGAAACAAACAGTCGAATTGAGAACCTCCTCTTTTTTGAAGTCGGTTAAAAACGCATGGTAACTGCTCTGAATATTAACAACTGTTAATTATTATTGACTCTGATTATTTCGTATATTTATTTTTTACTGTTATATGTTAGACTGATGTTTCTTCTCAGGTTATGCTTTACGAAACTCAAGCTTCTTCTATTAGCAATAGAGATCAAGGGAGAAGAGGGAGCCGATAGCAAAATATCGATAAACCCTCGCAACGCGAAAATCCATGCCAATACCCAAGGGTTCTTCATAGCGCAGTCGGCTGATGAAGTCAAAAGGTAAGCAAACGTTCGTCGGTTAGAAGTTAATGTTATGCTCTAGCAGTGATGTGCAAACATTTTTAATGGCGGGCCACAAAGCTTAAGAAATTCTAGAGGTAGGCCAGAATTATAGAAAAAAATTTTTTTTTTTCAATAAATAAACTAATACCTGTGACAGAATGCCGAGATAATTAGAATTGGCAAGTTGCATGGCAAGTTGGATGGCAAGTTAATTATGAGATAATGAAAGCTCGAAACACCCCTGACGAATTGGAGCTTTCATTAAAAATTCGAAGATTTTCAATTATAAACGTTAGATATTTTTTACGCGCCAAAATGCTGACTAGAATATTTAGGATGGATGGACTCTCGGTGGGCCGGATTAAATACTTCCGCGGGCATCCTTTGCCCATCACTGTCTAGAACATTCCGCAAAACGAACGTACATTACGAAAATTTCTGCTTCCAGAGCCTGGTTCTATTGCAAGGCCTGCCACGAGGACATCAAAGACGAAACACTCATCAAGAAGTGCAAATGCAAAAACTGTAAGATCACTGTCATGCTTTAATGAATTAACAAACTCTTACTCGTTTCAATAATACAATATAGCAAAAAAAATAATTATAACTGATGCCATTTTATATGAAGAACGCCTTCCGACTAATTCGAACGATTATTAATTCTGTGACATTCTTTCTGGAGAAAAAATTGTAAATTTATAATATTTATTTATTACGTTAATATTATCACGAGCTGTGTCCTTTAATATAAATTATATTCACTTAACACAAAAATTAAATAAATAGATTCAATAATGAACAATGTACAAACACTGTATGTAGGTAAATCGTTTTTGGAACGAAGTTCCTTATGGGACGATACGGAGGGGTACCCTAACCGGGAAAAAACGTCCGTAACGTAAGATTTTTATTATTTATGTATAGTCTTAGTATGATGGCTATACAGTGTCTGATGTATAGTCTACGTGATGACGGTTATTATTATTTTAATAATTATAATAGAAAATTTAGAAATATATATTTTTTTTATTTGATTTATTTGTCTTTTCTATTTATGAGATTATTGAGTATAATTAAATCTCGTTTAAAATAACAATACTTAATTTCTCTGACATCAAATTAATTATTTTTATTTTTATCAATAAAAAAATCATAATAAAAAATGTATACCCGAATCATTATTTTCTTTATACCTCGAATAGAACTTAAAATTAATATTTTTATAATAAGGAACTTCGTTCCTATCGGGTGTCCCACGACACCACACATCTTTTTTTTTTCTGGAGGATATTTTGACACAGAATCTCTATAACTTACACTGTTTACTTTACTGATCGAGACATTAATATGATATATTGTTCGGCCAAACTTTTAGTAACGGCGCACCAGCGGAAGGTTGGAGCCGACATAGGTAACTTGCACAACACCTATAACCTCACAAGTTGACGTTTTCCAATTATTTTTCGTGTATAATCGTTTTGAGTTGCTTTAGTGGTGTTGCGTCGTACCGCACAGACCGAAACGGCTGCAAAGCATTGTCTTGATCCTTGCTCGTTCACGCCCTACTGTTTAGAGATCATTGTGTATGTCTGCTCTCCAGTGAATTGACACCGTCACAAGACTCACTCGCTCAGACACTTCACCACCTTATGCCTTTTGAGATTCACTTCTAATATGTTTCGTTACTGTGCAAAGTTTAGTGCATCATACAATATCATACTATACACGATCAGGCCCAAGATAATGATCATACATTGCGCGCTAAACGAACACACCATTCAAAATTCTCCCTAACAAAACAACGGATCCGATTGTTATGATGCACTTCAAAGCCCAGAGCACTGATAGTGTATTGCATGTGTACGTTTACAATGTAAGTAGAACTAAATATGCAAACAACAAAGTGCACCTGCGTATTAATTTAGAATGTATCCACGAAAGCATGTCTCAGAAATAAGAATAGAATGAGGACACGAATGCTGAAAAACAAATTTTCCAAATGAGAGTGAGCTTAAGAACAAAGACTTTATACGACAGTTCCGGCTTGTCAATGCTAATGACAGTGGCTAACTAAAAACCGACTAAAACAAGTGTCAGAAACCATTTGATCATTCATAAATACGGACGAGAGCAAACTTCAGTATCGTTGGGTGATCTGAAGTTTGGTCTTTGTCTTGAGTTTATCGCGATGTGCGCACGTACGCACTTGTGAGTTTTTGGAATTTTTACAGATGTCGGAATGATGATGATGCAGACTGGGATGGTGAAACAAAGTCTTAATACGTACCGTGCTCTCGATGGTACGGAATGGAATACCATTCGTTATACCATACAATCGTATTGTACATATATATCGTTTATTGCATCGACTAACAATTGCTCATAAACAAAAAGAATATTAAATATATATTGGGCTAATAAAGTACGCTAATACACGGTGTAAAGACACGCAGCTGGGCTAGCCACGAGATAACCTCAATAACGCTTTTATTAAAACCATAGGAACAATAGAGAAAACTCACAAATGAATTAGGGACTATATATTATCATATTATGTATATTTTTGTTTACTACTGACACAAAACTTGGTAAAAAAATTGGGACGAAATTATCGAAATTGATTTTGGTAGCTGTAAAGGTTTTGTGCTTTAGTGATCAAATGTCTGCTGAATTAACAAAATTAACCATCGATCCCTAAGCCGCGCCGAAAACGTACCATCCTCAGCTTTGCATCTCTGTCCGCATAAAAAAAAAAAACATTCTGCCTCTCTTCATTCACAATCAAGTTCACAAACAGGTCTATACAGAAAATATATTAAGTTATGGTAGATTAAAAAATTATAATGTTGTTTCATTGGTTCAGTGGCGACATTCAGGAAGGGTGTACGAGCCGTCCAGATGGTTGGCAGGGCAAGTACGTAATGAAAAATGTGTTTAAAGTTCAATGTAAATGTCGATGTGATGTTTTCTATACGTGATGTGTGCCCGGGCAATGGAGGCAACTCCACTATGCCTTAAGCGCCAATAGTACTATCGTGTCCTGTTATCAATGTTTTGTCTGTTATACTCTATGTGCATTTATTCAGCAGTTAGTTGTTTGGCCTCTCTTTTAGACGATATTTCGAAAGAACGAGAGAGAATTATTTGATGTCGTTTATTTCTGTTGTAATTTTTTTTTTTTTTAGGAAAAAATAAACCCTTATTTTTGCATTAAATTAGACCCTGGTATTTAATTAATTATCGATGTTGTGATAATTTAGTTAAAACAGAATTTTAAGTTTGTTATTATTTATTTATAAGGTATTAAAACTTGAACCATGTATCAAAACCCTACCTGGAATATTTTTTGATTAGATCTCGCCTCAATAGAACTGTCCGGAATAAGCAGCCATGGGTTGCAGAGTTTGTTCTCGTCGTAAAATGGTATTTGCCATCTTACATTTCGTATTCTCGTCCCTTTAACTTCAATATTCCACCCATATCATTCTAACGTAGTGATTAATCCTTTTCACCAAATAATCATATTTTCATGCCCGTTACATTAGTCCTTATTAATAAAAAATAGGGTTCTAATTCCATCGTAATTAACGAATTAAAATATTGCACATAGAGCTTGTCTGACAGCTAGCTGTTTTTTGTGTGTCTTTGTAGCTTGTCCGCATGTTTACTGTTTGTAATTTATTCACATATAGATAGTCTAAGTGTGTAGTTACATAGTAGTTTGATGTTCTAATAAAAGTAATTTACCTCTAATAAAAAAAAACGATTTCACTTTTAGAAGAATACAGAGAAAACCGGCTTTAAAAATGCAAAATTTGACGACGTATTTATGCTACCCTCCCTCCCTACCTGACCCATGTTTGTTTTATTTGATCGAAATAAAAACAGTTTGTTTTGAAGTTATACTTCTTTAGGCGCGTTATGAAAAATTAATGAGAGTGAAATTTTACGATGCGCGCGCACCGTGACACAAAATTAACAGAAATGAAGTTGCCCACTAAATCGCTCATTACAATACGACCGACGTAACTTGGCGAGTCTGAATATAGCCGCAGGTGAACTTTCCGAACCGTACCGAGAATTACCGAATTTTTACGATGTCAAGAAAAGGGATGTCCAATATGCGTGTTTGAGGATGTTGTTTAATCCAATTTTTTTCAAATTGATTAAAAAAAAAAAAATTATAAAAATAAAGTATAACTTCTTACGCGCGTACATAAGTACACGCACCCTTTTTTTAATACTAATTTTGTTTCGATCAAGTGATTAATTCGAATAGAAAAATAAACCAATTGTCTAATGGCAACATTCGAATATGTGTCTCGACATTGCTTCGCACCTCTCAAGAACTCGCTTCGTTAATTACAGTAGTTTCTAAAAGTGAAATCGATTTAAAATATCGAATCATTATAAAAACGTCAAAACAGACGAAGTCAGCTGAACGCTGTACATTGCAAGGTGCCTGTAGGAATTGTATTTATTGAGTGGTGTATCGGAATGCGAACTTGTGCTGATGTTTTGCAGATGATCACCATCCTCCCCCCACCTTCACGCCGCCAGAGTTGCCCAAGAAGGTCCATGTTCGAGGTACATCTCAGCCTCTTTGGGGCTGAGTGTTTTATTTTATTTTTTTTATTTTAAATTATAATCGGCCCAATCCCATTAGACGACCGGCAATATGCTTCGTCCCGGGTTACCGTGAGTTACCGTGCACTTAGATGCTTTATCACGCATACTTCATAGCGAGCACTAACAAAACGTTTAGGCGAAAGTACTCCCTTGAAGAATATAAATAAAGCTATACAGGCATGAGTCCCAGCTGAAACATAGTTCGACTATCCGTCGCTTTTGCAAGTGAAGCTCATTCCAAAAACAGCTCGTTTGAAACCAACCAATCTTTGTTGGGAAACCTAACCTAGATCATTTTCTGTTAAGTTTGCATTCACATTTCGTGAATTTGAAGTTAATGAACAATTTTCGCCATTGATATGTGCTTCTTGGTAAACTCTAAAGCGGATGTATTTTATCATTTGTGGTTTGTATCCCTTTGCCGTGCATTACACATGTATCATGGAAAAGCATTCGCTCGTAAATGGTGCCCGCACTTGTTTAGCTATTGTTGCCAATTAATGGATTTATTTCTTATTCGGTACTTTTCGAAATAAATTTATTAGTACTCCTTAATAATAAATATTTTTTATTATACACAATACAATTCATGTATGCTTGCCCTTTATCCAAGAATGCATGTTAATACTTTAAATCGATTACTGGCAGCAGTATTTTATTGTTATGCTTTCGTTGTAGTGTTATTGAATGACGAAATGTTGCCTGTATTAAATATTCTAATTAAATATTTTCTTTAACCATAATCAAATAAAGAAAAATTCAAAAGATAAATGAAAGAATCTTAGTAGAAAATAAATTAAAAACTTATTAAGTATTTCAATTTGAAATCAATAAACATATGTTACAGATGTTACTTATCATCCCAATCCAGTTATATAGATGCATTATAGATATAAAGCGTTTCTATTTGAGATGTACCTAATTTAGTAGATACCTGAAAATCAATGGTTTTAGCTTCTAATCAAGTTCCTCCTGTTTTCAGGCGAAATCGCCCGCGAAAGGGGGGAAGATACAAACTGTAAGTACCTACATGCATTACGTTGTTATTAATCTACCGTGACAGTAGAGATTCTTGTAGGAAAACCTCAACCGTGAATTTGTAAAGTTAAGTCAATAACATTGTTAGGAGACCTTTTACATTAACTATTGTATAAAGTAGTAGACATTTTTTGTATAATTGTACGAATAAAATAGAACGCACTAGGGAGAAAACAATTCTGATATGAATATTCTGTAGCAATATAGTACAAAAAGGTTTTCTTCCTTAAATATTCCGTAAAAAAATATATATGAGAAGATTGTCTTTCATTTGGAAAGCTGCTATGTATATTAAACCGATATTTAATCAAGTCTTCAATTGAGTAACACGACATAGATTTTAATTTTTTAATTATTTATTTCATTTACTTCGATCTGGAATTCATATTACATTCAATAACAATAGAATAACATTTCACATAGAACACAAAATAAAATAAAAACAAAAACAACAATTTAGGAATAAAATAATGATAATAATAAAACAAAAAAATTAAAATGAATGTGCAAACTACCTTATCCCAAAGGCTGGTTTGGATCCAGAATGCTCAACTTGCACACGTGTCCGGTGTTGCATTATTAATTAATATTAAACATAATTACATAGATACATAATAACAGGTCCAATTAATGGTTTATAATTAGATTATAGCAGAAAACGACAAAAAACAGCACGGAAAATAAGCGCTATAAACGCTTAACATTAACATAGCGTTTATTTTAACGTTAATTATTTTTCGACAAAGTAATAAATCGCAACCATCGGAACGCGCCGACGGCGATGCTGTCTCCAATGGCGAACCAGCTGGTGAACACGACGACGACTCGGCAAGTCAACAAAGTAAAGCCGAACGTCAATCGAGTACCGCCCGATACGTAAGTCTTATTTGATTCGCCATTGTCGCCCACCGGGTGATGTCTGCACCTGTATTCCCATCCCATCCCTGTCGTTGTTACAGTTGGCTTAATTTCTTTCACGTCTAGTCTGACTACCTCCTACGTAATATCTGGCATTTCCTAGTCGTACGACAGAGGTTGTGGAACCCTTTTTGACTTTTTTTTGATTTTTCGGCATTGGATTGCCGAAATACAGGTAGGAAAGGATAGGCAGGATATAAATTAATATTGTCACTACGGGTGAATGATAGGCATCCACATCTTAATTACGACGACAATCTATACATACGAACAAAATATTAGTTTACGTCGTATCGCATTTTAAACATTACGTCTGGCAAAAAGAAAAGAAGATTATATGGGGTTCTTTTAAAAATTTTAAGTTTTAATGTCACTTAACCGTGGAAGGCGCCAAGGAAGTATTACTTCATTCATAAATGAGCACATTTTCTTGAAAATTATATTTTGAAACTTATTGGAAAAAAGAATATATTAAAAAAATACGTATTTCAGGAATGAAAAGCGACTTAGTTTTGATAAAAAATAAGACTCTATAGATTCTCACTCATTCTATATAATGTACTGGCAAATTACACTGTATTCCACAAACCAGACTAAAACTATTAATCGGAGCCGATAATCGGAATCGTAAAATGTACACTTCCGTAAAACATGCAAGGAAATGATTTAGGTTCTAAAAGTCCTACGATACACCCGTAAATACTGTATTAATGTCTTATACTTAGATAATAAATAAAAATCACAAACAGACGTTAATAAACAACAACATAGAGCACAAATTGAAATCAGCTAACCTAATGACAGTTTAAAGACCCTATTGTAATGTTAACTGTTTTTTTGTTAACTTTTAAAAAAACTGTTTAGAGAATCTTTCATAACGTCAAATAAAACCTAACCTAACCTAGTTGTTAGGTAACTAGTTACATTAAAAAAAAATGGTTACCTAACCTAACAAGGGCAATAAAAAAAAGGTGAATTTCAACCACTGAAGTATGATTTCAACATAATTATACGTAGCAATTACTGTCATTAATCTGAAAGATGAAAGATGCTCTAAAGCTTAGGTACATGACTGTTATTCGCTTGATCGATGTTTTGTTTTATTTTAATATTGTCAGCATTCTAAAAACAGCTATGGTCATAAAATAAATTATTAAACTTAAAATGATGAATTAAGTTGTTTTTTCTAAGTTTGTCCCATTGAAGCTTGACCTCAATGTGTAATTTGAACCCTTATTAGAACAAGAGCACAGAGCACACGAATTATTAGTGTTTATGATAACCTGCTATAAACTGCTATTATTTTAGCTGCTTTTTTTTAAATTTATTACCCGATGACAGGACACATGCTAATAGCAGATAACACGTTATATCTATAAATTAACTTATAAAATAGCATGTTCTATTGAATAGCTGTTAAAGCTGCTCCGTGCTTTGATTGGTTCGATATGTGTATTTTTTATTTAATTTCCTAAGAAAGAACTATAAAACGATATGAATGAAAAGGAGTAAAAAGAGAAATATTCTATTGTCTAGCCGGTTTTAAATAAAACAGAGTTCCGGTATTAAAATTCGAAGATTTGATATTAAGTGTTACGCGAATATCTCAACCAAACACCTTTTACTTATCAAATCGAAGAACCTATGATTTCTTCAAAATATATTTACCATACATCTAAGTTTAACGTAAATTGATAAATTAATTTAAAAACAAAATGATTCCGTTTTCGTTCAGTTTAAATTTATTGCACAACTATACCTTTAAGATTAGACCTATTTGGTGTCTATTACAGGAATCCTCAAGATCAAGACACGAATTACCAGGCCTATCACCTTGCCTACGAAGTGAAAAAGCTCATGTAACTCAAATAAATTATATAAAAAGCTAGACGATTTCTTGACTCAGTAGTTTTGGCTCTGTATCGAATTTTAGTACTTTTCGTTTGTTAAATGGTACCAGTACAGGCGAAGGCGCAGAATAATAAATTCGAAGAACATTAAGTAAAAAAAACATGTCTTAATAAAGTCCTAATAAAAACAATCAACAATGAATTCTATGGAATTGAAGATGTAGCAGCATTTTCTTCGGTTTTCACGGGTCGGAGACATAACCAAAATTAACTTGAACGGTTTAATCCCGCGTTTTTTAATGTCATTTTATGATTACTGACACGTCACGGGAGCCAAAATGCTGACGACTGACACCTTAGATGTTCGGGACTACGAACACTGTAATGTAATCATACATCCTACATATAATAATTAAATAAAAAAAAAACGCGGGATTAAACTATAAATTTAATTTTAATTAAATTGAAGATACACTTCGAGTAAAATAATAGATAAAAATAGAAAAGTAATTTGTCGATACAATTACTTCTCCTGTACACATTACCGTTTTTTTTTGTTTTTTTTTTGTTTTCTTCCAGAAATTTCCGTAGTACGTAGAGCTTATGTCACGTTTACCCCCGTTTCATGTAATTGTAGATAAATATGAAAGGTTTGTAATATAAAGTTTATTACTCACATTATTTAGCACTGTTATCTAGGAGCATAGCATGTTTTGGTTTTATAGAAATACGAAAGTTTAGTTCAGAAATAATTTCTGTTTAGACTTTTATAAATAGGCATTACGTTTTTTTTCACGTTTCCTCGCTATATTTAAAACAGTACAGTCACCGATCAAGTACATTATTAATACATAAATTGCGTAGTCTATATTATACTGTTATTACTACATTAGTAGGTACCACAATCTTCTTCACAATACATTGCTATGACTATAGTATATGACCACAGTGCATGAAATAAAATAATAAAACTAAAAAAATTCCACGTTAAAAATAAAGCAAGTAATCATGTTTGAATTTACATAAAATTTAAGTTTATCACCCGCAATTTAGCACGAAATTCGTTAGAGATATAGAAATCGAGAAAGGAATAATGTTTTGGATGACTCGACAGGCCTACTAGCAGAAGCAGTGGGGGTAATCAGAACAGCAATGGAGTTAGTCTGCCTGCTGGATTGGCAGACGACCAGTCGAAAGACTTCGACTTTGAAAAGACTGAAATGAAATACGACTCAACAGGCATGTTCCATTGGAGCCCTGCCAGGAATCTTGAAGATTGTATATTAGTAAGTAGAGCTTTGAGTTTTACCTAATTATCACTCTAACAAATTAATTTAAAAGCATTACATACTAATTGAATGTTCATATATAATTTAATCCCTATGGAGAATTTGACCGCTCAGCATTAAAACCGGGCCCAGATAGACGAGTGAAATTTACCAAACCTTATGCTTATCGAAAAAATGCTCAATATTAAATTACCGATACCGTAAATTAACTAAAGAAAATCTCAACAGGACAGAAACCAAGCGGCTATGACGGTTCTAAATGGTCACGTGGTCGTCTGTCTATTCGCGGATCCAGACTCGCCACTGATCGGCTTGAGGAATCTCGTGATGCCGCTAAGAGCCTCCAATTTCCACTACCACGAGTTGAAACACGTGGTTATCGTGGGAAGCGTCGACTACATACGAAGGGAATGGAAAATGTTGCAGAATCTTCCGAAGATATCTGTATTGAATGTGAGTATCCTTAACGAGCATTAGTTTTTGTGAGGTTATGATCCTGTTTAAATCTATCTCAATCTACGCGATCATAATGTAATTATTACTAAACGGTTTACTTATAACATAGATTCGCTCTGGATTTCTAGCCATACCTCATATTTCATTTGCTTGAGTGGCGAATTGCAAAGCAGACTCATATTGTCATGCGATATTTGACGACCTCCTCCTCGCATCGTTTCCTCACTGCTGAGGGTCGTGACCATTATAATTCGACATGATTTTACTCCTTGTGATGTCCCGCCAGCGCCTCCGATCATTGGCCGCATGACGGGCATGAATTTGATGACCAAACAACCAAGAAAAGAAAACCGCCAAAATAATATATTAAAAATATTGATAGCACTTAATTCCCGATCAATGCCAAGTTGATTATCTTCAAGTCTACGAATCAGCATGCTAAATTGAACAGCTGAAGTGACAGTCAACAATGATCGTTCGGTATATTTGTTTAGGGTTCACCGCTAAGCCGGGCCGACTTGCGTGCAGTAAACGTGAACCTATGCGACATGTGCTGCATCCTGTCAGCGAAGGTGCCATCGAACGATGACCCTACACTGGCGGACAAGGAAGCTATCTTGGCTTCGTTGAACATCAAGGCGATGACGTTCGACGACACGATAGGAGTGCTCAGCGCCGGCGCGGGAGCCAACGGCAGCAACGCGCAGCCGCTGCCGGGCCAGCCCCCCGCGCCCGTGCTGCTGCAGAGGAGGGGATCCGTATACGGTGCTAATGTACCTATGATTACAGGTACACTGACCGCAGTATGTGAGGAAATAATTCTAGAATATTAATATAATATAGTGTCATTTTTGAAAAATTTTAGAAGCGTTTTTTTTTTTGTGAGACGAAAATCGCTGGATTTTCGCCTAAGTGATGTAGACTGATAGTCTAATGTGCCACTCGTCGTGTGATTTTGAAAGATTAATTATGTTAATGTTAATTAAGTAGTTTTAATGAGGTGAAAGAACATACGATACGATAAGATGCAACTATACCAAAGTTCAAATCCTGCGAGCGGGTACCAATTTTTCCCCAGTCTACCCACGTATCTACTACTATTCTGCCTATTTATGACGCGGAGCGGTCGAGTATACAAGTGAGTCTCCGACCTCGTCTAGTGCCATTTGAAAATAATGATATTCTTTCTGCTCATCAGAGCTGGTGAACGATAGCAACGTGCAGTTCTTAGACCAGGACGACGACGACGACCCCGACACGGAGCTGTACTTGACGCAACCGTTTGCCTGCGGCACTGCGTTTGCCGTCAGCGTACTCGACTCTCTCATGTCCACTGTAAGACTTGGCTAAATCAGCATTTTAATCTTCCATCGAAATATATCAAAATTTGTAGGATATTCCGCGGCTAATTCAATGTGACCAAAACGTGAATATTGTTAATCGAGTCACTGAACGTTTTTGCAGCATTAATTTATTGACAGATGTCACAATAGTCAAATGTCAAAGAACAACATCTCAGTCCGTAACCCATAGATAATAAATCACATGATATGTAAGGCGTAAACGGAACGGAACGTAACGGCGTACGGAAACCGCAAAGTATTCGATTATAATGACAAAAATAAACGCGAGATTAAATCGCAAAAATCGTTTTATTTATGTCTACGACTCCCGAAATCGGAAATGATAATTAAATTAACATTACCATTAATGTTATGCAAATCTATGAATCTTTAGTCGGGTTTCCTAAAGTTTGACCAATTTCGAACTTGCAGACGTACTTTAACCAAAACGCGTTGACACTGATCCGTTCGCTGATCACGGGCGGCGCGACCCCCGAGCTCGAGCTGATCCTCGCCGAAGGCGCCGGGCTCCGCGGCGGGTACTCCACGCCCGAGAGTCTGGCCAACAGGTCTCCGCACTACTCACTAAACAAATACCAAACTCGATGATCTCAAAACGACTTTTCAAATTCGCATCGTTAAAAACGAAAACATTGAAATCACTGGTGGTAGGACCTAGATGGTAGGACTAGGATGGGTGGACGAGCTCACAGCCCACCCGGTGTTAAGTGGTTACTGAAGCCCACAGACATTCACAACGTAAATGTGGATATCTGTGGGCCACAACGTAAAACCCACCTTGAGATATAAGTTCTAAGTTCTCAGTATAGTTACAACGGCTGTCCCACCCTTCAAACCGAAACGCATTACTGCCTCACGACAGAAATAGGCAGGGTGGTGGTATCTACCCGTGTGGACTCACAATATGTCCTACCACCAGTAAAAATTATTTATTATATATATATTATGTATATTTATTGATCAATCGTTTCCAACAGAGACCGGTGTAGAGTGGGCCAGATATCCCTCTACGACGGTCCCCTGGCCCAGTTCGGAGAGGCCGGCAAGTACGGGGACCTGTTCGTGGCCGCCCTCAGCACGTACGGGATGCTGTGCATCGGCCTCTACAGGTTCCGGGACACCTCGTCCTCGTGCGACGCGAGCAGCAAGCGCTACGTCATCACTAATCCCCCCGACGACTTCTCGCTGCTGCCCACCGACCAAGTTAGTAATCTTTTTTTTTTTATTGCTTTGATTGCTTTGATGTGTGGACGAGCTCACAGCCCACCTGGTGTTAATTGGTTACTGGAGCCCATAGATATCTACACCGTAAATGCGGCACCCACCTTGAGATATAAGTTCTAAGGTCTCAAGTATAGTTACAACGGCTGCCCCACCCTCCCGAAACGCATTACTGCTTCACGGCAGAAATAGGCAGGGTGGTGGTACCCACCCTCGCGGACTCACAAGAGGTCCTACCACCAGTAAAAAAGTTTTACTCACAAAAGTTTCATTTTTACCTCCCAAAATTTCATTTTACCCCATTTGGGGTAATCCACCCCGGTTCCCCGACCGCTGCCTTAGGATATAGCAGCGGCGGGCTCCAGACGCGTGAGTGCGGTCTGTTTGCAGGTGTTCGTGCTGATGCAGTTCGACCCGGGCGTGGAGTACCGCGCGTCCCGCCGCGCCGCGCCCGCCCCCAAGGACGACGCCTCCTGACTATTGCTGTGCAGCGCCCTCACCGACGGGCCCTACTCCTACATCTAGGGGGCCCGGCGTCTCGACAATCCCGCCCTGAACTGCCCAAACCCTCCACTGCACAATCGAAACTTTTAACTCGAAGTTCTTTAATTTGAGTTGGAGACGTGATTGGATACAGTTTGACGGTTAAATCTCGTATCACATTTTCTGATCCTTATCATTTATAGAGTACCAGCGACCCTTTTTTTTTTTTTTTTTATTGCCTAGATGTGTGGACGAGCTCGCAGCCCACTTGATGTTAAGTGGTTACTGGAACCCATAGACATCTACAACGTAAATGCGCCACACACCTTGAGATATAAGTTCTAAGGTCTCAGTGTAGTTACAACGGCTGCCCCACCCTTCAAACCGAAACGCATTACTGCTTCACGGCAGAAATAGGCGGGGCGGTGGTACCTACCCGTGCGGACTCACAAGAGGTCCTACCACCAGTAATTACGCAAATTATAATTTTGCGGGTTTGATTTTTATTACACCCTTCGGAAACTGTAATTTATTATTGATTTCTCCACTATTTAATAATGTTATTATACATATAAACCTTCCTCTTCAATCACTCTATCTATTAAAAAAACCGCATCAAAATCCGTTGCGTAGTTTTAAAGATTTAAGCATACATAGGGATATAGGGACAGAGAAAGCGACTTTGTTCTATACTATGTAGTGATACCATAAAAACAAGATTAAACTGTCAACTGTATTTAAATCGAACCCCAGAATACCTTCATTTAAAAAATATTTTTATTGGCCTTTTTTTTTGTTTTACTACACAGTTCAAAATAAAAAATCCTACTTCCGACATTGCGTTCAGTTAAATCAATCATACATCGCCTTTTATTTGAAACACAATTTTGCCTGCACTACATTACAACGCTTATAATTATATTATTTTCACAATATTATTGCTGCACTTTAATCCAGCACTATTTTAAGTCTAAAAGCGACTATAAAGCTATTTTAAATTACGTGAAACACGAATAAAACACCAAATAAGACAATTTATTTAAATATGTTTATTAAATTTTAAGTAATGACAAAATATGTATATTAGTTGAAAATGGTCAAAATATTAATGGCGTTGGTTTATATTTTTAGTTCATAAGTGTTGTAAAAATTATCTTTGAATTTTTGAAATCTAGATTGACACAGCTCTATGCTATATTACAAAGACACAAAGCACTTTTGTTCCTGTTTTTTCTTCATTTTTGATTCTCTTTTGTCAAAATCCACCATTTTGCGCTCCAAAAATAACAATGGCGACTGCAATTTAAAAAAAACAATTTTATTAAGTAATGTTTTTTGAGAAGCGAACAACTTTAATCTTGAATATTAAAAGTTACTACCTAAATAATTATTTGTGATCGAAATAATGGAACCTTTTAAACTTTTAATTGCAGAAAATTTTAGTTTCACAGTAAAAATATATCTGCATCGGCTACCTTCGAACTACCTTAAATCTAGAATTTTCCATTCTATAAAATTCACTGAACTTTTTGTCTCATCTGTTTTCTAAATATTTAACACCTTTCTATATATGTATATCTGATATGTGTATTTTTAGCATTTAAAATGTTCATTGACTGATTGATTTAATAGGCAATTTGCGTATTAATTAAATTTGTTATTTCACTTAAGTAGCTCTTAGTATCTTTTGAATTATTACTTCTTCGCTTTAGCTGTAAGATATATACTTCATGTTATTCTTAAAGGTGCACGTACTATGGTAGATTTTGCTCATTTCTCTTTATCTTTTTGTAAATAAACTTTGGACACCTGTAGTTGTTTGGTATTTTTTGTGCAAGACTGAAAATAATAATTTGAACGTCCATAAAACCAAAGAACTGCACGAAAAATATAAAACGAACTTGTTATGTTTAGTCTCATTTTAGTTTATATTGTTTCATTTTGTTTATTCAATAAACTTTAATTATGTAGCCTTTTTATTTTTTTTATTTTTATTTTTTATTTCCTACGGGCAGGGGATTGTCAAAGTGGACGTGATACATGGCGCTGCACAAAAATAAGACTTATGAACTGATACAAATAAAAAAAAAATTGCCATTGTGAGCTCTACATAAACAAAATTGTTTTCATTTTATTATTTTGCGACGGACACTTGAGTACAAAGTGATATTTCGCTGTAAATGTGTGATATTATTTTTCGAAAAAAAAATTATCGTTATTTATTATAGAAAAATAGGGCTTGTGAAGCCAGGCAGTGTATTTAGTATTAACTCCGGGTGCTTTGACGATTGTGGATTCTCATAGTTAACTACGTTGATTGTATTAGATGACGTTTTAATCGACTGAATCAAACAGCACTGACATAGTGTGATACGCAACATCGAATGAACTATCGATACCAGTTCAGTCGATTAAATTAACGTTATTAGAATTTAATAGAAAAATAGTTACATCACCAATTTTTAGATGAATCGTTTATATAAATAATATAGTCAGCATTATACTTATTTATTCAATTTAAAATTTACACGATGTTTGATGAAATCAGTAAGTGTACCTTTATAGAAAGCACGCGACAGCTACAAATTAATAAATATGAAAATATTTCAATTAAAATAAATACCTCATTGTAACGACTAGTGAGAATATGTGAGAATGTTATTTAAAAGTCATAATTTAAAAGTTTATCAAACATCATGTATGTACAAATTGTACAATAGATAATTCTGTCACGTTATAAATTAGATTTCATCCCATTTGTAATAGACTAGGCAAAACCGGCCTTAAAATTTACTATTAATTATACGTACATCGTTTCACTTTCATATGAATGTGTAATATTTCAAATAATCGAATTAATTTACTTACCGCACAGAAAAAAAACAGTTAAAGCAAAACGATATTTAAAAATCACATACAGATCAAAACAGACAATGGAATTGAATTTTTAAATACTGCCACACTTGTTTTGTTAACAATATGACAAATCGAAAATTAATTTTGACACCAAAACTAAAAAATATATCTCTTTGATAAATAATTACATGTATATCGCATTATCCATTGTATTGCCAACACGTCATAAAGTTCACAATTTGCCTACTAAAATTTAGACTTATAAATTATGTATATTATAGTTAAATAAATAAAAGCATACTTAAAAATCACAGTTTGTAAAGAATAACGTTTTCGAGAAGGTTGTGCACGTTAGATTATTTACGTAATTATAAAAACAAGGTCTGTCCAAATCTATAACGTAAATTAAAGGGGGCTCACGGTCAGATGTTCAATGGCTACGCAAAGTTGCAAGCGGTAGGTATACTGACATAACCACCTCTGAGGATTTAGTATGAATCATTGTAATAATTGAACTAGTTTGAATTGCAAGAAACGTCCCAGCCAATTCACAGGAAACATCATTTGTTTTAGTCGATAAATCGAATGGTAAACGAAATATCGAAATGCTTTTCGGTTAAGTGACTTGGCTAGGATCGATAGTAGCGATTCATGCATGAAGCCCTAAACGCCAAACTAGGTACCTGCGTAACGCAGGACGCAGCGTACTGCATTCTACACTCAAATAAATAAACTATTACGAGCTAGTAAAGTTGTAAATAGTCAAATGTAATTTTGTATGTTACGTAAGGATTTTTTTCGAAATACGTCTTCATGGCATTAAATAGAAGGCTAATATTAAAACTCTATATTGAAAATCGTGTGTAGTTCGTTGTGAATTTAGGCTTCGGTGTCACTGTACGCTAGATAGGTATATAATTCGGACGTGTCAATGTAAAATATGTAAAATACACGCTATCGATTCGGATTATTATTATGAATGTTATATTAAGTATATATATAATTATATAAATGAATGATTTTTCCTTTAATATTTTTATACAGCATTACAAATATTAAACGCAATTAAAAGTTTAGAGAGGTGGGTCAGTGTGCAATTTAAAAAAAAAAGGTATATTTAGTGTTTAATTCTTATAATCGCCTTAAAGAGAGAGAATATAGCCGAGTCCTTCTATGTGTTAGCTTATAGTGTGAATCGTTCAATGTGTGTAAATGGTCACTCGACTAAAATGTCGTTGTGGAGTTCTCGTATTAAGACACCTTATAAGCTACGTGTCTTGTGCGTTTCGCTATTCGGCATTCGCCATGACTTATTCTTCTTCGATATATTAAACTACATAATTCCCACATCCACTCTTATTTGTTTCCGACTATTTATCGTTCATAATTTACTTTGAATCTTTCTCGAGGTCTAACGGAATTAACGTACATGGATCGGCACAATTTATTGAAATTTAAATATCATCTCACTTTTAATAAAACACGTTCAATAAAATCGTTAGTAAAACATTTTTAAAGGAACGGGAGTTGGAAAAAGATTCTAAGCCTAAATTAAAGATTAAAATGGTATAGTAGTGAAATCTGAGCCAAGAGATAAAAATAGGTTTAGCTGCCATTTGTAAGGGACTTAAATATATTTTAGAATACAAACAAACCTTACATTAATGGTAATTAAAAAAAAATCAAATAGAAACACCCAAGAATTTGAAGATTCAAAATGTTTTCGCATTCATATGCATTCACAATCGTTCATCAGAACTTTTACTATAACAAGGTACTGATATTTCCAAAATCATCAAAAACTAATGAAAAATTGTCGTAAAATCATTCACGCGAATTTAGGTATACATGTTGTGTGCATTAAACTTTAGAATAACAACATTGTTGACTATTGCTAATAGCTTGAGGTTGTTAATGTTTTTAGAAAGAAAAAAAAGCTACTTTCATCTAACATTTATACAGGGTGTTAACTGTTTCCAAAGTCAAAATGGGAATAAACAGATACCTAACTTTAACAGTAGGCAATGTTCATTAAGATAAGAAAATTAAAATAACAAAACATAGCTGTAGTTTTAGCATAATTTTACTTTGCAATATAATCTTTTCACAGAGACTTTGATTCCGTGCTTCAAGGGATTTTTATTTATGATACAAGTTATCGGATTCTTTGGTTAAATACATGATTCAAAGCTGTTTTTATTAAATATGGTAGCTAGGTAGGCTAGACAGCTACCCCAAGCAACACCATTTCGAGAACCCTTAAAAAAAGCACCCTGTATATGTGTGAATGAAGTATGTATTATAAGTATCTCTTAAAAGCTCTATAAAAGAATGTTCGCTAGGCTCTTTGTAAGCTGAACGCCATCTATATGTCGTGTTGTTACACTAGTTCTGTCTTATTAAATGTAGTATCAATATAATGATGGCTGTGAGATAATATATATAAAACAATTTAAAAATTTAATGTGTAATAGATGATTATAAAGACATAAAGATCGAATCACTCTATGGCAAATTAGCTGGACTAAAATGAACAATTTTTTGACGGAAATTTCAGTGTCGTTTTGAAGGAAACACTTAAATGAAAAAAGTCCATAAACGACATTGATGGTTTTTGTGAAAAAATAGCTTAACGCCTTGGCACTGGAAGATTTTTTTTTTTTATTGCTAAATATATTTCGTTATGTAACATTCTATACATTTATAATTGTCAATTTCAAGAATAAATGTCACAGTGCCAATCAGCTGGAAATTGCTTATTATACGTAAAGGGGTTACCACGTGTATCAAATCAGATTTTTCTAATAGCTCATTTTAAATTAGACTTTCAATCTAGTTTTCTCTTTCTAGAACTTATTGTACCAATTGATTTCATCTTATAACTTCTAATATTACGTGTGGTAACCTAAACTTTAAAAACTCACAGCTTTCTCTACAGTTGCTCAAGTTTCTACGCAAAGTTATAACCCCAGTTTCACTGCTTCTAGGTGTATTACCAATAAAAAGGTCCACATAAATTTATCTCACGTAATATTACATCACTATTTAGGTAGGCGGCCATCTTGTGAATCTATTTAAGCAAGATGGCCGACGAAAACGGTAATGTAATATTATTAGACTGTTCAAAAATGTATCACACCACAAGAACAAAATTATTTAATATTGTTGATGTTGATTGTTAATAAAATGCAAATAATGTAAATATCAAAATAAATTCTGTATTTGTATTTGATTATTTGTTTTAATATACCCTTTTTTGTATAGTATATATATTTTTTTTTTTTTTAGTCCGAATGTCTGCACCGACAGTGCGCGCCAAGTATGTAAGACTGCCGTAGCCTCTGGTAGTTTTCCAATTACAGCACAAGAGCGCATTATGCGGCATATTGCTCAACTAAGCTTCAGCATAATTCGACATTGTGCGTCACTGAGTCGCATTATGCTCTGTAATTGAAAAACTACCCTAATACAGGTAGTTTTCCAATTACAGAGCACACTCTCGCCTGAATTTCTGATCTCCGCTCCCCAATCGCCCAAACGCCCAAACGCCCAGCTCACGGCAATGACACCTGGCCGGCGGTGTCAACTTTAAGTCGGTCCGTTACGTTACCCCGACGCGACGTGACGTTGCCTCTGTTTTTCCAAAATACCCCGCTAACCCAGAACCAGCCAGCTTGGAACGCGATACACTGACAACTGTGTACTTAGTGCGAGTTTCTTAACGTTCTCCATAGTGTAAAAGTTAAGTCAAATTTGTATGGAGTTGGAACACTTGCCTATGTTTTCCGCTAGGGGCGCTGTTCCAACTGCATACAAATTCGAGTTAACTTTTACGATATCGAGAACGTTAAAAAACTCGCACTAAACACACTAATGAATGCTTCTACATATCATGTCAACACGACAGTGCGCTAATGTAGATGTCGCGGCGCGCGACTTTCACCTCTTCAGTCGCCCTGAAATAACGCAGAGGGAAGCCTCCTCAGTAAAGGGGCAAGAACTGGGGAAAGACGCCTTAGCAGATGGGTGCAAAATTGGTGGACTCTCAGAAGTCGAGCATCGCCTTTCAGGTATCATCGCCGCCAAATATTGTAGCCACGATGGTCGGCAGCGACGAGTCCGGTGATTTATTATCTTCCTTATTTTTAGTGGAGGCGTTTAATATCTTAAGACATAAAGTCAGCCGTAAATTAAAAAAATGGCGATTATCTTTTAAACCGATATGTACGAGTTCTTTTTTTTCATTGCATTAAATAATAAAGAATCCATTTTTGAATCAAAATATATATTTTACACATTCATAATTCATATCCACATAATCACACTATAACAATAAATAAACACACACAAATTTTATAATATGTAATCACAGCAGTGCACCATTTAACTTAGAAGCTATGTACGTGACATTTTAAAGATCACCAACCAATATATTCATAATATTAAAACATCCACCTCGCATTGACAGATGGCGAATAATTACAGACTAAAAGAAAAATATGCAATGCGATTTCTATCATTTAAATTATTTTAAAATTTAAATATTGGCTTAAACACGAGGGTTTTGAAATGTTTAAAAAGTTTTTTTTAATAATCATCATCACCTTGTCGACCTCTAGTGCTGGACACAAGCGTCCTAAGATTCGCAGCAATGATCGGTATATATTAATGTTATTATCTATGATCGGCATTGACCTGCGTCCCGCAAATATAAAAAATATCATCACAATACGATGGCTACAGTAGGAACGCATACAGCACAACTAAATAGTATTTTAGTGGAATAATTATTCATTATTTTTTTTATATTTTTTTTAGATCTACGTAATTTTAGTAATTTCAATATTACTGTTTTAATTGGGCAGACGATTATATGATCCAGTTGCTGTTCTATTTGCTGACAATATGCAGGATAGCGGAAACTTCACTATAGACAACAATTCACAAGTCAAGGTCATCGACGTAGTGATCCAATACAAACATCTACTACAAAACTCTTCTGCTAATACATGAGAGCTAACGACTGACTTGTTTTTGATCCTGAACAAAGCCTTTTTGATCCTGTGATGATCAACAACGCTGTTAGTTTCGTCACAAATCGGTTTTAATCACTGTAATCTTTCACGATTCAAAGTCCCTACTTTATACATATTTTAAAAACAGTAAATTATACCCATCAATAAGTATATTAAGAGAACAGTACTGCTATTAATATATTTTAAATGATAAATTCTGATAATATGTTGACATCAATTATTGAATGAATAATCTTACATCAAAATGGTTGCAGACAGGCATATTATACATCAAAACAGAGTCAATACATTGTATAATAAACAAAAAATATGTATAGGTAATTCACAGATAACTATGGTAAATTACAAAATTGAAGTTTAACTTTTATAGATCCAATTCAAAACTTCTGCTGTGAAGTTGTACAGGTACTCAGTGAAATATGAAATAATATTATGTGAGATATCAATTACTGTTTTTGAGTTTATCTAATTGATGAGCACATTTACTACTTTTTCTACTCTTTATGTTACGTCTTTTGCCAGATCCAGACATATTAGCTTTTTTCTTTTCATCCTCTAACAACAAGGGAGGTAGTGACACCTTTCTTATACCATAATTATATGCGTTCTGGTGCTTTATGACATCATTCTGAGGTAAATAAGGGGAACATAATGGCTCTAATTTCGTTGAATCTCTATATCGCCCTGTCACAATTCTACCATTTAATAATTTACTACGATCAGACGCACTCAGTACCGAATTACCTATATTCCTTGTGTCTAATGACGCAAATGATTTCGCACTACTTCTTCCAGCATTGGTTGAAGAATCAGGCCTGGTATTTCTCATCCATTTTGAAGAAGCAGCGTCTGATCGTAAAATTGACACGTTCGTACGTTTCTTGTGTATGGGACTTTTAATATGTATTGGTGTGATTTGAAGAAGCGAACTAAACGCATCAGGCATGTCATTGTCGTCATTATTGGATTGATTATAAGACAATTTTTCTCTTGTCAGTCTGGGTTCATTAATATCCACAACAGAAACTCGTGGTGAGTTTTGTGGTGTCACGTCTGTACTGCTTTGTGATAACCTTTCTTCCCTTTCGCTAAACTGTTCATAATCATTATAATGTATCGCAATAACTTCTTCGTGTTCAATCTGTCTGTATGATAGTCGTTTTTCTGGTAACGTTATAGCTCTGCCTATGACCCTAAAAAACCAAACATGAATTGTTAATATTTAAATATTATTATTTAATTTATTTAATCCTGAAGTCATCATGGCCTAAAGGATAAGACAGGTTAAGGTCTAGGAAGATATGACTGTGCCGGTGTTTGAACTGCACATCAACTTCGAAAATCTAATGAAAATTTAATACGTATTAACTCATGTTCACGAACTGTGTAATAAAAATGAAACCAATAAAAATTATAATTTGCGTAATTACTATAAAATTAAGGTATAGAACTCAAATCTCAAGGATGGCAGCGTTCTCGTTGTGAAGCCTGTGATCTCCGGTAACCACTTAACGTTAGGACGTGAGCTTGTTTACACGTCTATGCAAAAAAAATGAAGCTTCACGGCATACCAGAAGGCACATGATTGAATCAGATGATTAGAAAATCAAGTTTGGTAAATAATGGATGTCAAGGTTACATCTTCACACAATTAGGAACAAGGGCAAGTAGAATTGGAATAAAGAAATAATTAGAGCACCAAAAATGTTAATTGCTGTAGTGCTAATGATTCAGCATATTTCTTCTTTGTTTTTAATAAATTTAAGTAAGTAATTCAGTTGAATTACTTACTTAATAAGTAAGTAATTCAACTGAATTTGATTTAAATTTACTAGTTAGTAAATTTAAATCAAAGAAAATAAAATAGACCATATGCACGGATTGATAAACTCATCACTGATGGGAATATGAATTTACTTGAGAATTATTGTCAGTATAACAAATTGAAAGCAAAAATAAGCAGTTTTTTTTATTAATTTTAAACTATCTGCATAAAGTACTTATACTATAAGCAGGTGACAGGACAAGATGTAAAAGTTACAATTTTACTAACATTAAAATCCTTCAACAATTAACATCTTGGATTTTAGACACACATTAGGCAATAAACTAGCAGCAACCTAAATTATGGATGTTTAAAATATTTAGATATTTAATCTTTCTTTATATGCAGAAGGTACTGACAGTGTGTTGAGCATATAAATTAAATTAATAAAAAATGTATGCACTTTCAGGAATTCTATTGGTAAAGGTAAAAAAATCCTTATTCTTACACCATGGATGTTAAATTATTTTGCTCAGAAAATGCTTATGACTTATAGTTTTACCTAAAATGTGGATGTAGTTGTCTCCACTGTTTACACTCTTCAATCACTTCAGGCCTATTGGATTTTGGACCCTCTTCATCATACAAAGTTGTTTCTATTCTCTCCCACTCTTCTGCTAATGTCTTTGTGGCTTCAGCAGTATTTCTTCTCAGGGCTGATCCAGAGCTGCTGTCACTTTCCTCACTTAGAATGTCTGGTGTGTCTGAAACAAGATATACTAGTCTCTTTTTTGTTGATTTTAATACAACATAATACTTATTAAGCTTAACAAAGTATATTATTATGGAGCATTCATATTAAATTCGGAAGCACTAACAGGAAAGTGAAAATTTATATTAGCCTTTTAGTACTAATAAATGACTCTTTTAGAACTGTCTCTTGGTTTCTACTTGCTCTGTTTGGAAAGCATATTATTACTTCAATTTAATTTGAGAACTATCAATCTTACACATGTTGAAAACTATTAAACTATTATTATCAATATATTAGGGTGGTCATATAGTATTACACATATCAGTTTCCAATTAGATACTAGTTGTGAAAACATAGCAAATATATATTACAAAGTTTTAAAGTGTAAAATACAATATTTGAACAATTCACATTCATCTACAGGATTATTAAAATTATATTGATGTTGAAATAATTATCTCTTGGGTTATAAATTATTAGTAAATTATAATGTTAGGAAGCGCATAGTCAGTTCTCTACAAATCTCAGCTTTTCTAAAAACACCAAAAGATTAAAAAAAACCGGTGCAGTTTGCAAGAATAGAAAATAAGACCTGTCTCACTCTCCGTGAAGAAATCAGAAAATGGTGTACCAGCCCGTTCACCAATATCAAATCCATTATAATCAAAAGAATAATTTAAATTCCTGTTCAAAATACTCGAGGTCCTAGCTGATAACGGCGGCAATTCTTGAGAAGGGCGGTAGTTGAACCTATTAGAATTTATAATCGGCAAACAATCTAACAATTTTCCTACGTTCCTTTCACGACTACATGAATAATTACGTGCAGACATAATCCAGTCAAGTCATTTCGATGTTTATTTTTATTTTTGACGCTCGATTTAAAACACTTTAATTAGCTAATTAATGGTAAATATAAACATTTAAAGCTATTTGCACTGTAACACACAAGCTATTTATTTTTTTATTCTGATTATATTCTAAAAAGTTTGTAAAGACGCCGTGAAAACAAAACAAATTCTGAAGTTTTTTTTTCTTCTTTTTTAGCTTGCACGGTAAATTCTGAAGTTACTCTGAATTTTTTGGATACACATAGTATCCCTGGTAAATTTAGGGATGCCAAGCAGAAGCTTTAAATTTGCCGTCTTGTGTAGAAAATATCAAAAAAACGATGAATTATTTGAAAACAGACTTGTTAATAATCATATCTTTTTATTATATTAAAAATAACATCACTCATCGTACACGGTAATCAAATTTGCTTTTTATCCAATTTCATAAAACAAGTCAATAAATTTGTTGTAATGGATTTTTTTTATTGTTAAGATGAGTAAACGAGCTCATGGTCCACTTGATGTTAAGTTTTTACCCAATTTCATAGAAATCAATAACGTAAATACCACCACCCACCTTGAGACATGAGTTATAAGTCAAAGTTTTTACAGTACAACAGCTGTCATAACCGTCACGCATTACGCTTCATAACCGAAATGGGTAGGATGGTAGTATCTATCCGTGCGGGCATACAAGATGCCCTACGACCAGTAATTCCGCAAATTATATTTTCTGCAGGCTTGAGTTTCATTACACGATGTCATTCCTTTATCGTGGAAGTCATCCGTGAACGTTTGTTAAGTACTTATTTCATTAGAAAAATTAGTACCTGTCTGCGAAATTCAAACACAGGCACAATCGCATCACTTAATACGAATGCACTGGGCCTCTTATCCTATAACCATACCCGATCCTGTGGACCGAACGGTAAACAGTTAACGTCGCCCTAAACACGTCATTGCGGATCCTCCCAATCCATTAACGGTGCTTTTATGTACCTCAAGCGCCAGTCACCGTCCTCGCCGAACCCGTCGCTTGCGACGAAGGGCTCGACAAGTAAATTAAACCCATAGACACTGCCCACTGAGTTTCTCACCGGATCTTCTCAGTGGGTCGCGTTTATAATCCGTTAGTAGATTCTGTGAAGCACTGCTCTTGCTAGGGTCAGTACTAGCAACACTCCGGTTTGAGCCTCGTGAGCTCACCTACACGCCAAGGAGACGTTGAAATAGTCTCCCAAGGGTATCAGCATTCGTGGGGAAAAAAATCCTATAAGCTACAACGACTTCAAATCAATACCCTCTCGATTCATAGAGCTGTTGAGATCGTTACAATAATTTCATTGTAATTCGTGGTAATTTTTTGTGAGTGGTGAACAAAATATGTTTCTTTTTTATCATATTTGTTTGCTCGTACATTTTTCAGTCAGAAAATGATGTAATTACCGGGAATTGTTGTTTCGTGTACAACACAGTTTTGGATTATAGTTGAAGACCTTTTGTTTTGATAAGGTGTATACGGTTGTAGATGACTCGACTTTTGAGCCGATCTTAGTTTCTATATTTTCAATTAAGCCTCTCTGAAAAATGGTGAGTGATGACAAATATTAACCCTGTAGCCGTATCTAGCGATTTTGATGCATTTTTCTACACATTTGCGCATGACAGAAAACTATTATTTAGAGTTGATAAAATTATCAAGAGATAGTAAATTGGCAAAATCGAAAAATCTTACCTCGAATGCCTCACATTTCAGCTATTACATTCTCATACCGAGTTCTATATTCAGTGGTAGGTAATGCTTCCAAAAATAAGCTGCTTTAAAATCGCTGCATTTTCTAACCATTGAATGAATTTTTTTAATGAATTGGTATCTTCTTCCTTTTAGCCCTCATTCCAAATTATGCGGGATTGGCGCAGGGTATCCTCTTATCATGGCTGTATAGAGATTCTACCGCCTATTTCTGCCATGAAGCAGTAATGCGTTTCGGGTTGAAGGGTGGAGCAGCCGTTGTAACTATACTCGAGATCTTAGAACATATATCTCAAGCTGGGTGGCGCATTTACGCTGTAGATGGCTCCAGTAACTACTTTACACGAGGTGGGCTGTCCGCTCGTCCATCCATTTAAGCAATAAATAAATATATAAAAAAAATTAGCATACCTTTTAGGACTTCTATGCAACAAAATTAAATTCATTGTAATGAACGTTATCATCACCTGGAAAAAAATTAAAAATGCAAAACTGATAATTTTGTCTAAACTACACCTCGTATGCACATAAATATGTATACATAGACCTACTGCTGTGCATTTACTGTCAGCTCATTTGGAATAGTGCATTGTGTTTGCTCAATTTCATCCATAACATTGTTCGCTTCATATTCGTTTAATATAATTAATGAAATTGGGCTGTAAAGTGTGAAACCATCGCCTATCCAGTTGGAAAATTGGAACTACTGACTGACACTTGACAGTTTTTCACGGCGAGGTAAATATCTTGAAGCGGAAAATCAATACACTGAATATCATTTTTTAGTGTTATATATTTTCATCAATAAATCTACAACAATGTCGCAAGCTATCACAAGAAGTGGTGATAAAAATCAAGATGAGGTAGGCACATAAAACTTTATAAATTGCATAGATTTTTAAATTATAAATTGCCGCGTACTTTTCATCATAAAAAAATTTCATAGAAATTGAAGATTTGTCAACTTATGCGATATTTTTAGATAGGGTATTTGTAGTTATTTATTAAAACGCCATAGGGCTATACTATTTCTGAAATCTCGTAATGCAACACGTGCTGCTCCTGGTTTATTCATGTACTTGAATTTTAGTTATTTAATTTTAAAACATATGTTTAAATATGTATGTTGTTATACTTTCAATCATAAGTCTTTAATAATTAATTAAATTATTAATTAAAAAAAAAAAAAATTACAAATAAGTACAACTGACTAAAAACACCGGAATGTAAATTAATTTTGTAATTGAAAATAAAAATCCCAATGCTTCTTAACAAATATATGATTTTTATTTTTATTTATAGCATACTTTAGTAATACTGATGTTTTACCCTTTTAATAAAGATTACAATAAAACACAAACCGATTAAACGTAATTTCTTTCTCAGAAAATTCTCATGCCTTACACGTACATTCAGCAAGTACCAGGGAAACAGATAAGAACGAAGCTAGCTTCCGCATTCAACTACTGGCTCAAGATATCTGAAGAGAAGCTGAGACTAGTCGGTGATATTGTACAAATGCTACACAATGCCAGTTTATTGTAAGTTTTAAAATTTAGTTTAATTTTTAATAGTATTATTATCTTTATCTATATTAGCCCTACACCCCAGCAGAGGGTAATAGGAAAGCATGATGATGATGATGATTATTATCTTTATGTCTAAAGCCTTAAGAGCCTTTGTAAATTGATAAAGGCATTTAGAGAAAAGTTCACTATTAATTAGTTATAATATTATTTATTTGCTACACTACAATTATTTAGATAAAATTATGGAAAAAATTAAATAAGAGGTCAAATTTCAGAATGTTTAGGTTGAATTATTTTGTTTCTTCAGATTGATGATGGCTCCCCATTGTTATTTTCCAATATATCAGTCCCCTGAGGAATAGGAGATTAGATACAGTCTTCACTGATAAAGCGGTAGTATAACATGATATGAGAAAAAAATCAATTTAATTGTAATTTGGTATTCTCATAGCAATAAGTGGTGCTCGTTTCATATGCCTGAAAAGGGTCTTAGCAGCTCCTTGAACTTTCTAATAAAGTTAAGAAGTTACTACGACATATGCTATAAATGAGGATTCAAAAGAGGACTGTGCGGTAGGTAACGCTGTTACTACACACCTAACATTGCTGCTGTCTATGAACCAGAGTCACCACTCACCATTGGTTGGGCTGGATGCTTGTCAACTTTGTAGGAAAAAAGATAGGGGCCCAATTTCAAATTAGTAACATTTTCTATACATTTTACTGTGTCACAAGTGTGTCCGGTTAAAAATATTATCTATACATTTATTTCCTAATCTAAACAGGATTTGATTGCACATTATGTGAACATTTTTTGACTGTGTTGTAATAAATGCATCTTTATTCATCTATTACGAGTACTCCATAGATCTAGTATCTATTCTAACTAGAGGTCCCGCAGTAGTCGAAATGCAACTATAATTAATTGGAATTGTAAGTTTGTACACTATTATCACTATATTTTATACTTCTATAATCACAAATTTCGCCAAGACTACACTATAAAAATATATTGACAAAGACAAAAAATATTTAATCTATTTTCAATTTGACAACAGGCGCCAAGAACAAAAGTTTGACAATAAATAGTATGCATGCGTGTGTGCGTCAAATACATGGTATGTAGTGTGTGTAATGTTTTCTTTATTGATTTAATGTTCTTTTATGCATTATTTAAAAAAAATATTAGCATTGTGCACTTCTTCTCTATATTCTCTATAAGTGTGGAAAATTTCATACTCCTCCGTCCGCGCAATTTTCGTAAAAAGGGATATAAAGTTTTTGCTTCACGTATTAATATATAGATAATTAAAAAAGGAACACGTTAAATTGTAATTGTAATTCAAATTCATTATAACCTTGTTTAAGCGTTAGAGGTAAAATTTGTACCTAATAAATGAAAATTCAAAACCTTGAAAATCGAAATTGTATGTGCATAGCATTAAATACCATAATTTATTTTATCGCTACAACTAAATCTCTATACAAAAATATTATTAAAAAAAACAAAACCTGAACTTTCAGTTGATGATATAAATGTCGCGTAATAAGCGAAATGTATTAAATATATACAGTAATAATATTCATAACATTTAATTGCGATCAATATTAGTAACATTGACAGATCAAATCGTAACGGTCTTCGAAGTTTGCGATATTCGATATCAAATTTATTATATCCGATTTCAAGGTTACGTAAATATTCAACAATGGACTGCATGTAAAATAATGCTAATTTATAAAATAATCGTTATTCGATATTGAATATAATATGTAATTCAATAGAGCGTTTTGATCATTGTCAATTCTTGAGCACTTTTGAATACCATATTTATTCAAGACAATATTAGGCAAGAGATAACACAATAGAATTTCTAATGTGAATGCCACCACAGCCTATTACGAAAGCTTCATCAGTGTGCAGGGTTTTTGTGAGTCTTATTGCAACTAGCGTAGGTTTTTTTTTCCTTACCTATTCTAGTAACCTCGAGGGGTTATACTAGATTTTCCGTGTGAGTAGGTGAGCTCACGGGGCTCTAACCTGAGGACGTTGCTAACACTAGAGCTCTAGCCCTAAGCAACCCTAAAGCCTAAAGGCCTAAAGTCCTAGCAAGAGCAGTGCTTCGCAGAGTCTACATAGTAGTATTACATAGTATCTACTGTAGTTTGGAGGTAACGATAAAAGGCAAGATCTTCCACCGAGCGGGTGATATTGCTCGGTAGACCGACATCAAATGCTGTTGTTCGGAACTTGTATATATGCAAGCTTTTCTTAAAAATTGCCATAAGCGAGATTCAGGCATCTGTCAAACATATTGTGTTGTATGATGGCTTTTTTTTGCTTTTTTTTATTGCTTAGATGGATGGACGAGCTCACAGCCCACCTGCTGTTAAGTGGTTACTGGAGCCCATAGACATCTACAACGTACCCCACCCTTCAAACCGAAACGCATTACTGCTTCACGGCAGAAATAGGCAGGGTGGTGGTACCTACTCGTGCGGACTCACAAGAGGTCCTACCACCATTCCACATTAACGCCAGTTCGATCGGACCAGGATCGACGACATTCAAGACAACAGCATCTTACGGCGCGGAATACCGGTAGCCCACTCCATCTATGGTGTCGCGAGCACCATCAACGCTGCGAACTATGCTATGATCATAGCCCTCGAGAAGACTTTGGAGCTTGGCCATCCATTGGTGAGTATCAGCTTCGGATATATTCGTACATTCATTACATTTGATACTATTCGGTAAGATAATAAATAAATTTAAAAAAAACCTTGCTCAACAACTCTATAAGTATCTCATTATACGAACAAGAAAATAAAAAAAATCCAATAATGTTGTTATTACAATTATATTTATCAGTGAAACTATGGATAGGCAGGTTTTACATAAAAATTTATTATATGTTAAATAAATTGTAATATACATAATTATTAGCATGATTATAAAATATTGTGGGCTAGGCCACTTTTGCGCTGACGGCCTCAATATTTTCTGTTGTAAAGAAAAACGATTCACGTATAATATACGTCATGAAACTCTGTGACTCTGAAAAGGTTTCATCCAATTAGCGCGAATAAAAATTCCTCAAACGTTTTCATCTCTTTTAATTGTAATTTATTTCGGTTTGTAGCTTGTCGTCTGCTCGGCTAATGATTCTGCTACGGATGATACTGTTGACGTAATCGTTAAATAAGTTGTCATGTTTATTTCAGTCGTGCTGTGAAGTTTTTTTTTCTTTCAATGAAGTGGCATTGTACACATCGCTGATTCTATAATACCGGTTTAACGGTAGGCAGCGGCTTGGCTCGGCCCCTGACATTGCTGAAGTCCATGGGCGACGGTAACCACTCAGTCAGGCGGGCCGTATGGTCGTCTGCCTACAAGGGCAATAAAAAAAAAAAATCCTTTAAACTAGGTCCAATTAGCTGACGCTTCGAAACTATTGTATTACTAAATCATCCAATTAGACAATTGACATCCATAGACTTAGATCCATATTTGGTACCGACTTAACCGGTATTCGATTGGGTATTCGTTTGAGGTAAATAAGCACCGATATAGGCTCCAAATTGGATGGAATACATACATGCATTGTATTGGTATAGAGCTTTTCCTGATATCATTAAAATAAACATTTCTTTTCATTAATTCTTTGTATTTTCCTTTTCATAGAACAGCATACGTCCACCAAAAAAAAAACCACAGATAACCAGTCAGTGCGAGAAACCTTTTTAATTATAGACTAAACAAAATTCCAGCTTGGCTGCTCGTAAATATAGTAGATGGGACATTGCTTCTTCCAACATATTGAAGTTTACGAGCTGATATTTCGGGATGAAAAAATTTACTATAAAAGTGATGTCTGTGAAAGAACTAAAATTTTTATATCCACGTCAATTCTTTTAAAAGAAAGTCGATGCCTACAGTCCTAGACAGCAGCCCGCCTCTCAGGGCGGACCTTTTTAACGAAATAAACACTGAACGCATCAATCAATTTCTTGACTTGGAAATACTCAATTTGTGTAGTTTTTTTTTTTTTTAAATACCCCTTTTAGGCAACGACTGTGTACACCGAACAGCTGTTGGAACTGCATCGAGGTCAGGGCATGGAGATTTACTGGCGGGACAACTTCCAGTGTCCCTCTGAAGACGAATACAAACAGATGACCATCAAAAGTAAAGTGTTTTGATTGTTTATTTTTTCTATTAAATGGTTAGGGGACTATGGTTAAATGGTAACTTGATTCCTAAAAAGATAACCAACCTTTTGCTAAGTATGTATCGTCTTCTCGCATTAAAACTGTATAATCTTAAAACTTACTAATTTTACAGGAGAGTGTTTTAAAGGTTTAAATAAAACATGTGATATTTTTAATATTAATCATCTTTGTAACATTTTTTTTACCAGTTACATTATCTGTCTTTTAAAGTAAGATAAAATTATGTATTAATTTTGTTAATAGTAGTCAAAACATACCTAAACTTAAAAAAAAGGAAACTAAATCTAAACTACGCTCTCTTGACAGTATCTATGAGAAAAATCTGTTGATATGAAATAATTCCGCATATTAACTCAATTTCGAATATTTTTGGAAATTGTACAATTTTAATGCGAAAAAGACGATATGTGTAATGCGTGTTGAAGAACGACTTCTGTGACTAATAACATCTGTTTAGTTTCTGCCCGTCTGTTTAGTGTTATTGCCCTTATAGGCAGAGTATAGGGCCTCTCTGGTGGTGAGTGGTTACCGTCACTAATGGACGTCTAACTAAAGCAAACTAAGGAACAAAAACTAAAGCAATGCAGACATCAATTTACGATAATGAGTTTTGGACACAAAACTTAAGAAGTAATTAATAAGGCGCGCTCCTAATAACTATGTACATCCAATCCATACATTGCATGTACAGGTCGTGATGATGGAAAGTACTGTGCTTCGTTCCTCTTACAACTCACGAGACAGACTTGTGGTAGGACGTATTGTGAGTCCGCACGGGTAGTTACCACCACCGTGCCTATTCCTGCCGTGAAGCAGTAATGCGTTTTGGTTTGAAGGGTGGGGCAGCCGTTGTAACTATACTTACGTTCACGCATTAGAGCGATGGTTACAGAAACCGGTGGACTGTTCATGCTAGCGATACGACTGATGCAGTTGTTTAGCGAGAACAAATCGGACTTCACCAATCTGTCCGCCGTGTTGGGGTTGTATTTCCAGATCCGCGACGATTACTGCAACCTGTCGATGAGGGAGGTGAGTCGTACAAGGGTACGGGAGGGTTGGGGGGGGGGTGCTTCTAGGTTCTCTATTGCTCGCAAATAGAACACGTCAACATGTACTAGAAGTCGTCGTGGCCTAAAGGATAAGACGTGAGGTGCGTTCGTGTGTAGCGATGATGCAACGGTGTTCGAATCCCGCCAGCGGGTACCAATTTTTCTAATGAAATGCGTACTTAACAAATGTTCACGTTTGTCTTCCATGGTGAAGGAGTAACAGCGTGTAATAAAAGTCAAACCCGTAATAATTATAGTTTTGGGAATTACTGGTGGTAGGACGTCCTGTGAGTCCGCGCGGGTAGGTACCACCGCCCCGCCTATTTCTGCCGGAAAGCAGTAATGCGTTTCGGTTTGAAGGGTGGGGCAGCCGTTGTAACTATACTGAGACCTTACAACTCATGTTTCAAGATGCGCGACGCCATATACGTTGTTGATGTCGCTTGATGTACTGTGAGATCGTCCATCCATCGCAGTTAAAAAAAAGAAGAAAAAAACGCCAAAGTCTTTAAAATTTCGTTTATATAGAGATGGGAGTTGATTCTAGAATCGCAAGGGTCAGAATAGACTCGCCACTCATATAGGAATGAACCGTGCGTTGAATGTAGTTGTGTGACAGATTTAATGATCCAAAGCTTTCGGCATATAGAAAGCTGGTTCCAAGCAATACTTAATATATTTCAGTACACAGAGAACAAGAGTTACTGCGAGGACCTCACGGAGGGGAAGTTCAGCTTCCCCATCATACACGCCATCAGGAGTCAGGAGGACGACAAACAAGTCCTTCGTATCCTTTAAATGAACACACGTATATAGAATTCGTATGAAAATTAACGAACTTAACTTGCGCTATAAAAATTTTTTCATATTTATTTCTGATGCCCAATACCAACCTGTTTTTGAAGATTTGTAATATACAGCCATACTCGTTTCGATCGCACGATAAATTTTCTGATTTCTATTGAAATAATGGTTACTTCATCGAGCGATACGTTCCTTAGGCGACCGCTTTTGTGACTTGTGACGTCATAATTTATGATTTCGACTCTAGGCTTGAGCATAATTTCCTTCGACCGTACAAAACTAGATATCCTCCGCCAAAGGACACGGGACGTTGAAGTGAAACGTTACTGCATCACGCTGTTGGAGAAGTTGGGCAGCTTCCGGTACACGAGGGGGATCCTGAACGATCTGGACGCGCGCGCCAGGGAGGAGGTGAGGGCGACGATCGTGATTCCGATCCGGTGCTAGATTTTACGATGCACTGCTCTTTGTTAGGGCCAGTGTTAGAGCTCGCCTACCAGACAGCTACAGCATATTCTATAGCATTTCTTTCTTTTCTTTTTTTTTTCGAGCATGCATACTACCTATCCGGGCCACCTGCCGGTGAATGATTACCGTCGCTCTTGAACCTCAGCAATGCCAGGGGTAAAGCTAAACCGCTGCCTTCCGCACTTAATTAATGGACGGCTCGTAATAAATAATTGTATAAAGCAATATACTGTTTACATATTTCAACATAATAAATAATATCTTTATCAGACATTTACACATTACACATTGACAAAAAACCACTTATGTATATTGCACGTCCCGAGGGGGAGGGTGATGGGAGAGATGTGCTCCGCACTAAACGCTTCACTTTCCCCCCTTTGCCTTTGCATGAGTTCTGTCTCATGCGAGGTTTGGATGCTGGTTGTTGAGCGACAGGAGGTTTTAGTCGGTTCAACTCCGACAGGCCCCGCCCTCCATCCCCATTGGAGGGCGGAAGTCCGGTGATTTCCTCCTGACAAAAAAATATATATATATTGCACATAAATTAAACGTTATTAGATTGTTAGATGCTCCAACCAATCAGTGCGTTCAAAACATTTATTTCGAAAATGAATTATATTTGATTGTATTTCGTGTCAGGTCGCCCGTCTAGGCGGCAACCCACAGCTGGAGGCGCTGCTGGACGACCTGCTAACTTGGAGACAGGAAGGCGACGACGCTAACGATCAAATGAACTACGTTTGAGCGCAACTAAAGATGAGCTTAATTTATTATAAATATAAATTATTCCAAATACAAATAGTGAGGGTAGTTGAATTTGTTCCTTAAATTTTAGCGAAACTTTTGCTAGTGTTATAAACAGAAATATATATCGAGAAGTGAAAGGTTATTTGATTTAAGGGACATCTTTGAAAATTACTGGTGGTAGGACCTCTTGTGAGTCCGCGCGGGTAGGTACCACCACCCTGCCTATTTGTGCCGTGAAGCAGTAATGCGTTTCGGTTTGAAGGGTGGGGCAGCCGTTGTAACTATACTGAGACCTTAGAACTTATATCTCAAGGTGGGTGGCGTATTTACGTTGTAGATGTCTTTGGGCTCCAGTAACCGCTTAACACCAGGTGGGCTGTGAGCTCGTCGACCCATCTAAGCAATAAATAAAAAAAACTTAACTGAAGTTCAATTAAAAACATCGAACAGTCGATGCTATGTAATAATACCAAATAAAACGCACCTTTGATTACAAAGATAAATGTTACTTAAAACAAACACCATTTCAACTCTCGATATATTATTATTAAATTACTATTGCGTATAAAATAATCTACACAAAAATACAAACAGGAAAATGCTGTTGCAAAATTTTACTATTTTTTTTTGACGTCTCCATTGTTTTTTTTTGACGATGTTAGACCAATAATCGATACTAAGGTTATAGTTAGTATTTAATTAATATTTATTTTCGATGCATTTAGCACTTTTTTTATTTATGATTCTATTCGAGTGAACAAGATTGTTATTGAATCTGTATGTGGTGTCGACGTTATCATGTCTACACTAACGTGAATGCTGTAGATAATACATTAGTTAGGTCAGCATCTACATCAGCTACGTCAGCACAAAGACGAACCTACCACTGCATTGATTTACTTCAAAATTTTTAAGTACGGTTGACAAATTACCGTAGGAATGTATAATCAAATATACAATATATTTTTAAATATATTTTTTCTTCTTTAAAAACTTCCAGTTCTGGTTGGCGCTAATGTAATTTTAAATGTTCATTATAAATAATTGCTTAATAAAAAGGTACTTACTTTCATGTGTTAGTGCATTGCTTGAAATTGAAAAGACCTAATGTGCAATTTAATTTTAAGTTATACAATAATTTTAAGCCTTATTTTTAGGTCGATAAGGATTAATTGTATTCGATGATCTAGAACGTTCCATCACTGCCCGATGAAACCATACTTATTATTAAATGTGTATTTTTTTTTGTTGTTAATATTTTTTTATTAATCGAAAAATAAAAATAAATGTTCTTTCTCCTTCCTGCCTTATAAAACGAGCAGTATTTAACGAATCAAAAGACTAATGCGTTATTCTCAATGTTTTTTTTTTTGTATTAAATAAATTATATTAAATTAAAAAAATTACGATTAAATATATTTTGGAATGTTTTTGCTTTTGAAATTAATTATGTTTTTGTATTAATTTATTTTTTTACTATACTTCAAAATTTCGTATTGAGAGATGCTCAGGATAAATGTGCCATTTTAAAAACGGAAGTGTCGAATGGGTTTAGTATTGGGAATATAGTATCTTGATTTTTTTGTTTTCTTTTTTTAATAAGCTTTGTCTATGGGTCGCGGTGTTACGTGTCTATGGTATTGATAGTGAACTAATTGGTTGGTTCGTTGTTAACATTCTATAAAGTTGTACGCGATAATAATTCAAACTGCTTCGAAATCTGATTGAGTATTGGGGATAGGATTTTTGTTTTTTTTTTCAGACTGGGCTCTACGTCTGTTCTTTTGAGTTATAATGAAACAGGCTCAAATTGTTATTCTATGAATTTGCTTTGATATTATAATTTAGATATCGCGCATTCCGTATTGAATAGGCTAATAGGGCATTATAATAAAATAATAGCGTGTCGTTGTAGCAATTTTATTTAACGTTCCATAAAAAAAAAAGAAACATGTGTGCAATTCACACGTGTTAGAAGTGAAACCTTCAAAAATTTAAATACAATTATCCTAAATGTCTAAGTACATATATGTAAAATTTTGTCATTAGTAAATAATTGTAAATCATCTTTTATAGTATGAGGTAGCGCCCTCTGTGAATCGATATTTTAACGTCACGTATAATCCTAAATTGAAATTCACTACAAGAGGTTTCATACGCACGTTAGTATTAAAAAATCTCATAGATGGCGCTGTATTAAAATTTTTCGACACTTCCGTTGCATACCTGCGTGACGTTACATCTGTAAAAATTTTACCCTCATGCGCCTAAAGAAGTTTCACTTCAAAAACTATCTTTGTTGGAGTTTAAATGACACTTACTTGTAGTCAATGTAGATTGGATGTTTCAAAATAATCTTCGTATTGGCGGAAGATACTGGAAATCAATTCGAACTAATATCAGAAGTTGAATGCTTCAAATTGACATGTTAATTTAGATTCATATCACCTGCTCTCTCAAATTAATGCTTGAAGATCAGGGATTAAATAGTTTCTTTAAATGATTGTTAAGAAAAATAAATTTTGACTGATGTGTATTTTAAAATTTTCAAAAAGCGAATTGTGCTATTTGTAGGATAATTAAAGGCCTAATTTGTACTTATAAAGTGTCGCTACAAGGCTAGCCAAAAATGACAATAAAATTACTTAGGACCACGATTTATTGTAGATTTTAATGTTAAAATGGCTTTTAAATTAAATTCTTCAAGCAGGTACTTTTTAGTGTTTGCTTGTGTCAAAATGAAAGTGTTGCCAACTAAAAAAGTATTCAAAGTTTTTGCAAAACCTTTATTGCCTACTTCATGTCTCCACTATATTACTAACTAGCATAAAACCTTGACAGTTGAAATACAACATTTATTTCAAACTAATGAAGATTATATAAATTGTTTACTGTTTTTATTGTTGGCAACATGTCGTTGATCTTAGGTGTTACAATTGATTGATTTTCTAGCGGGTAAATGTTACCGCAGTTTTCATTTCGAACTTTAAGAATATGTTTTAATAATTCGACAGTTAAATTGTATAAAATCACCGTTCTGCTATAGTCGATAAATTTTGGTATCATTCAAATTATGACTAAAGAATATAATATCTTCTTTAGATTTCGAGATGAATAATAGCTATATTGTTGTTCTATAGTGCACTTGTTTTGTCTTAAAATAAAATTTTAATATCCAACGAATGTGGTTTTTTTTAATTACTTTACTAACCAAAATCTACATTAATCTATAACTATATTCTTCAAAGTAGCAAACTTCAAACTATTTAAGTTTGAATGCTCCATCGCTGAACCATGATATGGGTCCAATCTAATCAGTGAAATTCTTAATATAAAATACAAAAAAAAACCAACACAAATACGAAGAGGAAATTCAATAAAACCAATAGGAAATTGTTTATGTACTTTATTTAAGTTTTTTTTTTACAGTTGTCACAAACTACAGGACATCCGAACCTAAAGTCGAAGTTATCGATGGATCAAAATGCTCCTGAACCCATAATCTCATAAATAAATCTATAGTTAAAAATAAAAATACATTATGTTTTTTAATAGTCACAAAGAATTTTACATTTAAAAAAAATACTAAATTCATTTACAATCTTCTCCTCTTATGGACAGTAAGAACGAAATTCAAAATCCTGTATTTACTGTTTTAAAAATGGAAATTAATATAAGACTCATGATGCATTTATCACAATGTTATGGACACATCTTTCTTCAGACACAAATCAAATATACATAAAGATTAAATTAAAAAAAATATGTAAGCTTTTTTTTGTTTCAAGAAAGCAAAAGGTGAAATATTTATAGTAAAGCTAATCCGCAGATGACTCCGCACCTGTCTCGCTCACTCGCATCGTAAAACACAAGAGTGAGCGAGACGAAACATAGAGCTCGCGCACTAAGACATAAGACGTATATTTTTAGCATTATTCGTTCACTACACATATAAAAAAGGTTTTTACGAAACAGCGAATCGTAAGGTCTAGTGCTTTATTAAAAATTTAGTTAAAAATTAACTCCATTGATGCAAAAGATCACCTCTCATAGTCCAATTCGATTAGTAAATAAATAGAAATTCCATTAACATTTCTTAAGGTGGCAAGACGTTCAGTCGAAACATTAGTCAAAAATAATAATATTCGATCTAAATATTTTAAGAGAAATGTGTTTTGCATTAATGGAATGTGAAACTACTTTAATATTATATTACAATTTTAATATCTTTTTTTTTAATTCATTAGCACTCTAGTAGAAGTATTACAATAACATTAATATTTTCAAAAACGTACATCGTTCACATCATTTCGCAAGAATTGTAGTTTCGTTCCGGAAATGGGGCGTTCATCATTATGTAATGAAAATAATATTTATTTCCGCCATTACATCTGTCAATGATGACATTAGCACAGAAAAGTTATTATTTTCTATGGCAAAGGGTTTCTCGAATAAATTCATTTAATTAAAAAACTAGACTTTGTCAATTTTCTCCGTTTATATTAGAACATACAGTAAATTGTCCTAAAAGAAAAAAATAATAGAAACAAATTATTCAAAATGATTTAATTAAATTTGATTACAGCCATTGGCATTTTCATAAAATACTATATAGTTTTATTCTTAAAATAAATCACGGCACGTTTTATTGAAAGAAAATGATGACTTTCTCTAATCCGGATAATTGTTCGATTAGTGAAATGAATCCAATTGTAACTAGCGACGGTCCTGCCTCTCTAGTAATCTTTGTCAACATTTTCTCTAAAAATTTCCACCACAGAACCACAATTCTTGTCAGCGACTAACATTCAGAACACAGACATAAAAATATAATCTGCTTTTCGACTTCTGTCATTGTGTCTTAGTAGAGTCGATACAATTTTATAATTGTATAGAAATTTTCAAGCACATAACTAAAACTACATCTAATTTGACTATACCTAAGCAGCTACACATACGAAGCGATTAAGGCAACGATTATGCTTATAATTAACATTTTTTTTTAAACAATAAATATAAAGTGCATTTTAAAATCAATGCATTCGATTGCTTGATACAAAATTAAACATTTAAATATCTAACGCCATCTTTGTATAATTATTATGCGGAGACGAATAATGATGTGTGTTATAACGAAATATGTATCGACTCGTTCCAATGTATGGAACACAATCACACAAGCCGAAACGGCAGAGCGATGGGCCAACAGCGAACCGAGCCGAATGCGGATAAGGACTACGATCTGAACGCGGACCGAGGTCCCAACGGGGATGAGAAATTTCACACATTAAATTAGCATCTGAACGCTTACTACGAACCGGACTACTCGGGTTGGGATGCAAAGACTCACGAGAACAGAATGCTGATGGAATAGCATCGGTGCGTGATATATAGTTGGTAACGGTGCGCGGTTCGGTGCGTGCTTGCTTGCGGGACGGGCGCTCGCTCACGGGATCCAGCCCACGACGTAGCTGCGGCTGCGGGTGAACTGCGTAATGCGACGCACGCGACAGCCTGCAATATTAACATATTACTGTAAATTATCATCATTAGACTTCTTCAAACGAGGCTTGTGGAGAGTATTAAACGGTAGGCAGCGGCTTGGCTCTGCCCTAGCATTGCTGAAGTCCATGGGCGACGGTAACCACTCACCATCAGATAGGCCGTATGCTCGTCTGCCTACAAGGACAAAAAAAGTCTATTTATATCTATACTAATATATATATATTTACAGTGGTTTTTACGGATGTTCCGTTAAAACTACTGAACCATGCATCCGATTGACTTAAAACTTGGTATCCATGTAGAAAATACATGTACTTAATGGATAGGCTAATATTTATATGTGTTGGACTTTCTACACCAGTTGCGGGGGGGCGTTAATGATGAGAATCTTTGAGGGGGGTGAAATATAATAATATTTTATTTCATTAATAGCTGTAATGTCCAATAAATAAGATCAAATTATATGTAAAATATTTTTTTTAAAAAATCTCTTGTAATAAATTATTTATTTCTAAAATTAATTTGTGGGTTATTATATTAAAAAGAACTGTTTTTTTTTCTTCGAAACCTGAATTTTATAAAAGCCTTTTGGGTCACAGATTTAGCTAATGCAACTCATATAGACTACAGAGCATATGAAAGCCCTCTGAAAGTTGCATTAGAATACATCAAGTACATATTTGAATGAGCATCCATGGATTAGGAAATGTTTTGTGTGTTTATGATGACAAATGAATAAAATCTTCAATTTCATATTTAATTACTAACAATTGTTTTCACACACACTATTATAAATGAATATTTCAATAAAGTTATCTATTAAATTAGACAAATGGAGAAGCTAAATTTGTTTAATCCTAGAACAATATTAACCATGTTGTAGCTCCTAAAAGAGTGCCTGGTTTCAATTAATACATAAACATGCCAGGTAACACACGGAGGTTCTTTCGACATGCAACTTATCATTTTACAATGGGTACACGAATATAGTGACAAAGCTTACCGTTTTTTTTTTTTTTTTAAAGTTTGTATTAGCTTTTTTTTAGAGGGATTACTGGTGGCCCAAAGACTTTTCCAGTTTTACCACATCACGTGAATAGAAAGGGTAGCTGCTTTGCGAATATAGCTATGATTGGATAGGAATCGCGACCGGCTAAGAAGATACGGTGAGGAACTCAACCGAAAGATGTATGGGTTAGATTTCACCATTCCCATTACCAGGGTCCCTATGCCTACTCTTTGTGCTAAAGCTGTAGACGATCAAGAAGGATCATTCACGTTCGAGTATCATCAAAAGACATTAAAATTATTCTATTACGAATATTAGGGTGTTTACATTTTTTTTGTTATTTAGACTCTGTAGTTTATTATAGTATATTGACTTAATTTATTGATCAAAGTACTTATACGCTTTGTTCATGTTTTACTTTTATCTTGGCTGGCTTTCATCAATAAAACTATGATGGTAAAAAAGTTTAGATCATAAATACAAATTTTTAGATTATTTGGCTATACAATATCCTGAATTCTAAAGAACAATGGCAATTTTTTACCTGAATGTTTTAAAAGGCGTCTTAGATTAAGACATAAACGAAACTTCATCATTTTATTTGCTCGTTTTTTATACGATGTTAGATTTACGTGGCAAAGCCACGAAAAAATGTTAATTTAATAAGCTTTTAATTCGATTTTTGTGTACTTCCGGTTTAATACATTCGTAAAGGATGGCATTTATACTATTGGCACAAAAAAGCAATATTTTTTGATAATGAATACTATTCATAAAGTATTTAAAATGAAAATAATAATATTAATTATCCTTTGTTACAATTAGTACTTAATTAAATAACTAAATATGTAATAAATAGTAATGGCAGCCCTGCAGATGACAATGATTTTAACAGTATGACACTGACATAATGCGCATGACTATGCCCGTCCATAAGGCTAGTGAGTGGAAGAGAGAGCGAAATACTCGCTTCACCGCTCCGATTTTTTATAACCCAAACTGCACGGACAAAATAATTCTACTATAGTAAATTAGCTTTGCAAGCCTTCGTTTGTCGCAAATATGTGACTAATTCGTTCAAAATGTTAAAAGTACCTATCTCTGACACACATTTACAAAGAAGAAGGAACAAACTATATAATATCTATATGTACCTAGGTAGCTCTGCAATTGCTAAGGGTGCCTACTACTATTAGAGGTGTATCCTTGGTTCGTCTATGATAATGAAACTAAAAATGTTAAATAAACATATCGTTTACCTATTTTTTCAATTTGTTATAGTCCGTGCCTACAAAAATCAGAGACATCTATTTATTGATAGATAACCTCAAATTATAAAGTAAACACGTTGATATCTTTTTTTTGTGACTTTCTAATACCAAAAATATTTCTGATTAAGCTTAAGCTATGTTATTCCTATCGTTTTAGTATTTTTTTGTTTCAAGACGCCTCAAATAGATATCAGGTAAAATGTTGTATAGAAAGCTGCCATTGTTCTTTAAAAATATATCACAGCACGATTGAAAAAATTAACAAAACTGCACAAAATGTTTAAGCGAAACCGACAAAACAATGAGTCATCTTAAGCAGATGGATGAGACCTCAAAATGGAGGGTAGAGGTAAGAAGAACCGTTTCTGTGTGTAAAAAGTGTCCGTTAAAAGCTGCTAAATAAGAGTGGCGCTACAGTAGCTTCCGGGTAAATTTAAAAAAAAAACACTGAAAGTTATTAGAATAAGCTAGAGAAATAAAAAAAGACGAAAGAACTGAAAGCACTACAAAATCACAAAAACTATTTTATTTAAAGCTGATACGAAAATGCAATCGATGTCTCCACGTTTTACCACAGCTATAATTTTAGATTATATTGACGAAATTAGTTTGGACTACGTAAACATGTGAGGTCTTGTATCTGTCACTAACTATTGTAGTCGTTAAATATATTAAATTTCCTAACTTAGCATACTTCAATCAGTTAACAACTGCTCAATTCATCTCATACCCTGTGCCTATGCTAGTGCCATTCTGGAGGATTTTTGAACTGTTATTTAGTACTGAAAGTGGGACACTTTTCCAAGCTTCTTCCCATATGAGACGGTTTTCCTTACCTCTACCCTCTAAAGGCCTCAGTCACTTCAGTGAAATTGACTTTTTAAATTGTCAAAAGTGATGACGATGACATGAAGTCGTTATTAGCTTACTGTCAAATTGACAGATGACTTACCTAATTGTAGTTTAAGTGTCTAAGCGCTATTCTGGCTCCGGCGCTGCTGGCGTACTGCAATATAACACACGAGGATATAGGATAACGAGCGAGTTATTATCTGTAAGTATTATCGATATTCACTTGTAGTGATGTAACGTCGATAAAAAATTTCGACGTTACGTTATGTCAACTGTCAAATTTATCAATTCGAATACAATCAATGTATTGTCATTAAAATATTTGAATAATACGAAAATTTTTAATGTAGGTAACCAATTAGCATAATGATTTACTGTGCAATGATAATATAAACTAATTTGTTTTGTACATATAATAAAAATAAAGTAATAGTGAATATCGATACAATACGACGGGCATCAAACTTATTGGCAAACTAAAAGTTTAGGTTTAATTTGTAAACAGGTTAAAAACACCAAACACCATGCTTTGAGGTAAAAAAAAAAACACATTTTATAGTTTTCGGGTTTCGGCGAATGCTTTGTTAGCTGTAAACACGTTTACGTGCTCGGTTATAATTCTACGCTAAGTCACAGTATATTCGATTTGAAAGGGATAAACTTGACTGGTTTTAGCATAAATAATATCCCAAGTGGAAATGTTAATGTTTCTACAGTGGTACAAATACCATTTGCGTTTATCACACCAAAGAAATGATAACGAATATTCAATTTTTAATCTCTTCGAAGATTCAATCTGACAAGGAAAATCCCTTCAAAATCGAACACAACATTTTATTAATACAACAATTCTGTCAACGCAAATCACTCCTCCATTCTGTAACATATGGATCTGCAATAGTCATAAGCCGAATATGTTTATTAACGCTGGCGCTTCCAACTCCGTAATAAACAAAATAGCACGGCAAATTTCGTATACGGCCATAATTAATTTTCAGCAATTTCCAATAGCAAATAAATAAACATGGAATTTTACCGATGATCTAATGGCCGTTCTTACTAAATACCATACGGGCTTACGCTCCCCTCTCGGCTAAAAATCAAATTGTTAACTGTTAAAAAATAAAAATCAAAAACATAACAATATATTTATTTAGTGTTGTTCAGTCTTTGTTTTGAAAGTAAAATTTGTAATTAATTTTATTTGTTCGATAGAGAGTAGTAAGGAGTTTTTGTTAAGGAAATAAAAACTTGTCCCGTCGAGAGCTTTAACAAAACGGTTTTAACTAAAATACACTTATTAAATGCAGTTCTAAAGTATTCATCTATGTGACATAGGTTAGGACTCATGATACAGGTGCTTAATTTTTTTTTTATGTCAGCAACACCATGCTCCTGTACATGGCAACACTGACACAACCCATAGACTAATTTCCGAGATACTGTAAAACTGCATGATTACACTCATTAGAATAAGTATAAGCTGCAATAAGCGAAGTTTTGTTATACGGCGCCGTGCTAACACGTGGTGCCCCGAGGAGCTCTGACCTCTGTTGTCTATTGGCTACGCGCCCCCTTTTGCAGGTTGTTAAAGAACCTGAACTGTAGTCGCAGCGTTAGGTCTTTCCGTACTGGAATAATAATAATAACACATATCTCAACTAGCCGATCTAAATTGAACCTTCAAACAATGAGGCGTTTGGCTCATTTTTAGATGCTCAATATACAATTCTTTGTCCTAGACACATAAATATATGAACAGAGATGAGTGGGAACGGGGGTCGGGGACAGGGAGGCACGCGTTGTGTGTGTATCGTGAGTACTCACGAATGCGGATTGGGGTTTATATCTGGTGGCTGGGCGCGGACGAATCTATCCACTTGATCTCCCGTCCTGATCTCAACGTGTCGATTAGCATCCTCGACGCCATTCGTCTTCGCCGCAGCTACCGGAATTATCCTCTCTCCCGTATAATCGACCGGAGACGGATCCTCAACCACGGGCGGTTCTTTGGCTTCGAGCACCAAGGACTTCTCGACGTTTTCCGTTATGGATTTCGTGTCGTTTGTCGGGGTGACGGCTTCCGCGCTGGGCGGAGTCATGCTGAAGAGGGAGTTGTCGATGGCGACGGGCTGGACTCGCGCCCGCGGCAACCGGAGGTTCAGGGAGGCACTCGCCCGTTTTAGCACTCGGCAATCTAATACGTAAATCGACTCTGTAGAGCTACCTCCAACGCTTACACTCGACTGAATTATTTACAATGTGATCGATGAAGAACGAGCAAACTGGATGACCTCTTTTCTCTGTTAACGTGCACACAACTTCTTCGCGTTTCCGCTTTCCATTCTTGATGATTCGAGTTAATCATAGTGATGTGCCACACATTGTGTGCTATGGTCAACGAAGCCGCTATATTAATCGGTGTTATCATCGAAATCATTCGTCTTGATAATCGATAAGTTATATAGTGAAATGTGATCAATGAAATCGATTAAAATTAACATTATGATGGATTTTAAACACATATATAAAGGTTTATGATTAAACAGTTTCTCCAAATAATTCGTATATTGGAGTTGAAAATGTACCTGGTGAGTTATACGACGTCATGAAAACAATGTTCTTAATATATCATTAAGAAACGATTTTTGTTTCGATTTAATATGAAATTTATTTAATCACATAGAATGAAGGTTCACTGTGATTCACAATTGTGGTGGTTCAATTCGGTCAGTTCGTGAAAGATGACGTCACACAAATTGAAAACTTATAGTATATTGATTGAACGAATAAAGTTTTCATGTTTACATGATTATTTAAAATGAAATATAAAAATAATCATGTAAACAATTAATTATAGAGCAAGTTTAAAAGTATTCAAAATTTTTGAACTGAATAAATTTAATACTTTTTATTCGCTTTTTCTTATTCGATAAATTAAGTTTGATGATATTATTCAATATCGATTATATTAATTTATCGAAATTAATTGTTCTTTTTATTACTACAGCCGAATTTGTAATTAACAATTAACTACCTCCTTTTTTCTGTTTACATACATTAATATTTCTAATTATACATTAATACCTACCATAATCTGGAAAGTATACATTTCAACAATTATATATTTTTAATAAATAATTTTCAGATTAAGCTTTCTACGGATTTCTGCGTAGAGAAGGATATACTGAAAATCAAATCCTAAATTTAAAATTTAAATGAGCGGTATTTTTTTTTAAATCGAATGTTTTTTTCGTTGTTGTCTAAAATCGATATAAATGATATCGATACTCACTCCTATCGATGTTCCGTTGGAGATGCGACGCGACCCTGTGCCTCGCGTCGCTGTACTCGAGGTGCAGCCCGAGACGCAGCAGGGTCGGATTCTGTTCGACGAGCTGAGTTATCTCCATCTCGATCTTGTTACCGAGAACTTGCGATCTCTGGAACGCAGATAACATTTACCCTTTGACGTTATATAAATAGGATAGTATAAGGGTGTGGTTAGGCATAATGTATTTATTAAATTAATGTATCGTTCAATTTTAAAACTATTACTGTTGATTCTAGAAGTATAATAAATATACTTTGATAATTTAGAGCCCTAATAATGTTCAAACTTATAATTTCAATTAATTATAATCGAATTTCGACTACTACGGATCCACTAGTTTATACAATTAGGCCGTCTGAGTAAATTAACACGTTCTCTAAGGTCGGGTATCTGTTGGTGTAAGGTTGGTTCTCTGAGGTATGTGCGTACCTGGTTGGAGGCCCGGAACTCCTCGACGGTGTTGGTGTGCAGCAGCGCGCGCACGAGCTGCACGAGCGCGGGCGGCGAGATGAAGTTGGTCTCGACGCTGAGCACGCGCAGCGCCGTGTTGTGCCGCAGCGCGTCCGCCAGCGCGCCCGCCGTGCGGTCCGTCAGCCCCACGTTCACCAGCGACAGCACCTCCACGTGGCTGTTGCTCTTTAGCGCTTCGAACAGCTTCTCGAACTTCTCGTCGCTTATGTTCTGGAAATATATTCATAGACGGTGGTTTTATTACTGGCGATAGGACGTCTTGTGGTAGGTACCACCATCTCGCCTATTTCTGCCGTAAAGCAATAATGCGTTTCGATTTGACTGCCGTTGTACTGTAAAAGCTGAGACTCTAGAACTATTTTCTCAAGGTAGGTGACAGAATTGATGTCTATGGGCTCCGGTAACTATTTAACATCAGGTGGGACGTGAACTCGTCCACCCAACCAAAAAATGTATTGCATAGAATCTGTTTAATTTGTTGTAACAAGCTTTTTAGCTTTGTAACAAACAAAGCTTGAAAGAGATATACCTACCCTTTTCTGAGTTTGCAAGTCTCAAATCTCAAATCTAACACAGACTTTTCTACTCAACAATCCTTTAATCAGGGTTCCATATTGGGTCCCTTCCTATTTCTTGTATATATCAATGATTTACCTAAGTTTATTGAAACCCGTCACGAGGTCGTATTATTCGCTGATGATACATCATTATTGTTTAAAATTAAACGACATTTGGAAGATTATGACGATGTGAATGATGCTATCTCGCGCGTGGTACATTGGTTTAGTGTTAATAATCTGTTATTAAATAACAAAAAAACAAAATGTATAAAATTTACCACACCTAATGTTAGACAAGTTGACACTAATATTACTGTAAGTGGAGAGACACTGGAGCTTGTGGATTCGACAGTTTTTCTTGGTATAACAGTTGATTCCAAGCTGCAGTGGGGTCCTCACATATGCAAGTTAGCGAGTAGGCTTAGTTCTGCAGCGTTTGCGGTAAAAAAAATACGAATGTATATTAATGAAGATACGGCACGCCTGGTTTATTTTAGTTATTTTCATAGTGTTATGTCCTATGGCATTTTGCTATGGGGCAATGCTGCCGATGTCGAAACGATTTTCATCCTGCAGAAGAGGGCTATTCGTGCTATTTATAATATGCACCCGAGGGAATCCTTGAGGGACAAGTTTAAGGAAATCAAAATTCTAACTTTAGCGTCCCAATACATTTTTGAAAATTTATTGTACGTGCGTAAAAACATTGAAGAATTTCCCAGAGTCTGTGATTTGCACAATGTGAACACTAGGAACAAACATAGGCTTGCGTTGCCGGCGGCTCGAATTAAGAAAATAAGCAACTCTTTTAGGGGGCTGGGTGTACAGCTTTTCAACAAGATCCCACTAAACGTTCAACTACTACCTGTTCATACATTTAAGAAAACTGTTAAGGAACGTTTGTGCAACAAGGCATATTATAAAGTTAAGGATTATTTACTAGATGGCACTACGTGGGAATGAGGCGCTCGCTCCTGGCCTTTTCATTTTTCATTATTATTATGTATTTGTATTTTTTTTGACTGGTTTTTTCTTTTATTGTGAATATTTCTATTTATTTAGAAAAAAAGAAAATATTTGAGAAAAAACAAAAAAAAAGCCCGCTGAGTTTGTTTCGCCGGTTCTTCTCAGGACTGTGGCTTTTTTTGGAACCGGTGGTAGAGTTAACATTGTTATTTGTATTTTGACATTCAACAAGTGTGTCATACTGACATCTAAGTTGAAATAAATGATTTTGAATTTGAATTTGAATTTGAATGTTATCATCATATTTTTTACCTGAAGAACAAAGTATTAAAAGACTTCATTAACAGTCTAACAGATTTCAACCTCCAATATTATCTATCTATCACGTGACGTTCGATGTTATCTATCTATCTATATAAATACAGTCATCCAAAAATATATCGTTTGAATAAAGAACTCATATCATAGATAACCATTCAGAGGTTGACTCTAGGGCCTAAGTTAACGTCGCACAGCCTAATCTAGGCCGTGCGACGTTAATCCCGTTGCCAAAAAATACAAAAACACATTCTTTGTATGTACTAACCTTAATATTATTCCAATTGAGATCAGTCAGCTTCTGGTCATTTTGTTGCACTCGAGCGATCGTTTCATCCGGGTCCGTATCGTTGGGCGGGTCCATTGGGAATACCTGTAAGCGTTTCAAAAGCAAAAACCATTAATGACACTGACAGTAACAATAACACATTAACAGTATTGTTGGTCATTAAGTGGTGTGGGGACGTAGAATAGCACCAGGTCGTCTCTTCCCATGGGTGTTCTAGTGGGTACCTAAAGGATTCACCGGAGAATGGATAATGTTATTCCACCAGCATACTACAGCATAATGTAGGTCCACACGAGTAGATAGCCCCATCCTGCTCAGTCAAGAATTCTGGGATAAAATGGTACCGCCTTTATACTATATGAACGAATCCTGACCTCACTTATCAAGGTGGAGTACTCAATTTGTCTAAGAGCTAAGTTAATCCACTTAACACCAGTAGGGTCGTGACCTTGTTCACCCAATTAAGCAATAAAAACTCATAGTACGTTATTTGGATGCGATAGAGAACCATATTAATACAGTGCGGTATAGTTTAGACTCTAAAATTTTGTCACTACTGCAGCCGCAAAATGTAAGTATTTAAACATTGCATATAAAGGGTGGGGCAGCCGTTGTAACTATACTTGAGACCTTAGAACTTATATCTCAAGGTGGGTGGCTCATTTACGTTGTAGATGTCTATGGGCTCCAGTAACCACTTAACACCGGCTGTGAGCTCGTCCACCCATCTAAGCAATAAAAAAATAAATTGTCTCTCTGTATTATAAGCAAATAACAAATTCCTTTCTTATTTCATTGCAGTTTATTTTGCTCAATTAGAGATTTGATCGTTATGTTTGACGGATTATAACGTCATTTCATGTCAGCCATAACAGGATGACGGATTATGACGTCATTTCATGTCAGCAATAACAGGATGGCGGATTATGACGTCATTTCATGTCAGCCATAACAGGATGACGGATTATGACGTCATTTCATGTCAGCCATAACAGTATAACGGATTATGACGTCATTTCATGTCAGCCATAACAGTATGACGGATTATGACGTCATTTCATGTCAGCCATAACAGGATGACGGATTATGACATCATTTCATGTCAGCCATAACAGGATGACGGATTATGACGTCATTTCATGTCAGCCATAACAGGATAGAGATCTCAAATGATAAGCCAGGTGAGCGTCAAAGAAAACTTTCGTAGATGCTGGTTGTACTGGATTATGGTGGTACCTTGGGTTTGGTGGCTTTGGTGATGCCGTCCCATCCGAGTCCGACGGGCTGGCCCTTGTTCAGAAGCGACGCGTGGTACTGGTCCTGATTCATCATCGAGTGGAATCCGAGGATGGCTGAAATGAAACATTCCATATGTCAAAGTAATCTATACTTCTATATCTATACTAATATATAAATCTACAGTGGTTTTTACGGATGTTCCTATACTGATAGTCCTGAACCATGCATCCGATTGACTTGAAACTTGGTATCCATGTAGAAAATATATGTACTTAATGGATAGGCTAATATTTATATGATTGTTGGAATCCCTAGACCATTTGCGGGAGCGTTAATGATGAGAATCTTTGTGGGGGTGAGAAATAATAATGTTAATTTTAAATGCCCAGCGAAGCGGACGGGTACAGCTAGTATTTTATAAGACAGAAAACAACAAATATATTTAAAACAACTAAATCATCGAAACAGATGCGGAACATAAAATCTACAATGTTTATATTTCGTATCGTAAACGTTAAATCGATTTTATTAATCGACTTAAAACGTCAATAGCATTCGTGTTTTTCTTTAATAGATTTTACAAGAGCAAAGTTCTCTGTTCGTTTTATTTCCTCTCTCTCTCTATCAATAATTTTCACTATCTCGAATCGTCAATGTTTTACGTATGATCAAGATTTTTGAATATTGGGATCCGCTAGCAAATATTTTGTTCTTTTTGCCCTAATCACATATCACGACCGCACGCCTCTATAACATCAATTCTATTTGTGTTACAACTCTATTTGTTCATTGGAAGGTGCCATAGACAGGAACCTGTATAATTTTTTTTTCTTACGTCATTGGATTTTGGTTCTAGGATTTTCATTTGCATTATTATAAAACAATTTTACTGAAATTTAGTTTTTTTTATTAAACATCAAAGTGTAAAAGTATCGTATTGTTTTTTACACGATTTTCTTCACTACGCTCATAATGTTGTCAAAATGATATTTTTATGACTTAATCATTGTTTATCCGCTAGTAAGAGACATTAAAAAGAAACAAACATAGACAACAATAACAATCTAACTTGCAAAGCGAATCAGAACACTTCTGAAAGTTTCATTCACTTTTGTTTCCCCTAATACCACCGTTGACCTTACAACCTCATCATTATGTTTATAGACCGAATTTAAAATAAAAAAATCAGAAACTCAGCTTCTCGACGAGAAACACAAACTAAAAAACTCAATAGCCCGCCCGGTGACAGAGAGCGTCTGGAATGTTGCCAGTACATTTCTGATGTTTTTATAATTTATAAAGACGTTCCTAGTCTTGTATAAAACTTTAAGAGACAATAAAGCAATGATGTAATGCGAATCGCTGCGTGACAACGTCTTATGGACTTGGCGTGAAGCCGCTACAGCAAAATGGAACGTGCTTATAGTTTTTCTAGGGCATAAATAAATAGTTGAAATAGTGGTGCCACATTTTTTTATTTATTGCTTAGATGGGTGGACGAGCTCACAGCCCACCTGGTGTTAAGTGGTTACTGGAGTCCATAGACATCTAGAACGTAAATGCGCCAACCACCTTGAGATATAAGTTCTAGGGTCTCAAGTATAGTTACAACGGCTGCCCCATCCTTCAAACCGAAACGCATTACTGCTTCACGGCAGAAATAGGCAGGGTGGTGGTACCCACCCGCGCGGACTCACAAGAGGTCCTACCACCAGTAATTACGCAAATTATAATTTTGCGGGTTTGATTTTTATTACACGATGTTATTCCTTCACCGTGGAAGTTGAACATTTGTTAAGTACGTATTCCATTAGAAAACTTGGTACCCGCCTGCGGGATTCGAACACCGGTGCATCGCTTCAACACGAATGCACCGGACGTCTTATCCTTTAGGCCACGACGACTTTCTAGTGCACAAAACGGTCACAATTAGCTTTTCGTTCTTGTATCCTGACATTACGACCAGTGTGCTTAGTGTGAGTTTCTTAACGTTTTCGATAGCGTAAAAGTTAAGCCATTTTTGTATGCAGTTGGAACAGCGCCCCTAGCGGCAAACGTACGCAAACGATCTCATTCCATACAAATATGAGGAAACTTTTACGCTATCGAGAACGTTAAAAAACTCGCACTAAGCACACTGAACAAGGATTGGAGATTGATACGACACATACAATATCGACTACACATAAGGCACGTCAATTCATATCAATTAATGTGCTTCGTACTTGCAATAAATGTCTTAATCTGGCCAGAATCAAATTCTGATTGGAACCTTTCACTGTTTTGCATTTGGATCAGGGCGAAGGAAGAACATCGTGTAATAAAAATCAAACCCGCAAAATTATAATTTGCGTTATTACTGGTGGTAGGACCTCTTGTGAGTCCGCACGGGTGGATACCACCGCCGTGAAACAGTAATGCGTTTCGCTTTGAAGGGCAGCCGTTGTACTATACTGAGACTTTAGAATTCATATCTCAAGGTGGAGGCATTTACGTTGTTGATGTCTATGGGCTCCGGTAAACACTTAACACCAGATGGGCTGTGAGTTTTTCCACCCATTCATGCAATAAAAATAAATAAAAAATGCGAGAAACGTTACATAGATAGAAGTACAAAATTTGTGGGTAGATTTATGTCAGCAGCTGCAATTTTTGTGGGTACGTCCCTAAATAGGTTTATTTACACATACCCGCAAGATCAATGATCTCCTCCTGTGATGCAGTGCCGAGAGCCTGTTCGTATTCATCGCCGAGATCGATCGTGATCTGTTCCTCGGCGTCGCGCACCTTCTCCGGAGGCGGGGGCGGGATCCACTGGAAATTCAAAAGTCTCGTGTTTGTTTAATCGGAAGAGTTCTGTAGAAGAGTTAGTTACAGGTAGAGGTAGAGGAGAGATAGGAAGTCTTGTGAGTCTGCATGAAACAGTAACGCGTTTCGCTTTGAAGGGTAGGGCAGCCGTTGTACTATACTAAGACTTTAGAACTCATATTTCAAGGTGGTTGGCGGCATTTACGTTGTAGATGTCTATGGGCTCCGGTAACTACTTAAGACCAGGTGGGCCGTGAGGTCGTACACCCATTCAAGCAATAAAAAAACCAATGAAGCCGCGTGAAACAATTACTTTAATAATACGCGGTAATCACTAGTTAGGCAAGTGATTAACACTTCATAGACCGCGTACTTCGTTACGGCTTCGTTCAGTGACCCATTTTAATAAACAAGTAAAGTTCAACTAACAGGATCCCACGTGATAATTTAAAAAAAAAAAAGTGCTAGTGCATCGCTAGATACGAATGCACCGGACGTCTTATCCTTTAAGCCACGACGACTTCCAGGAAAAGTATCATTTTATTTTTCTAGTCTCACCTAACTTCTCTGAAGCTAATAAAACAGTTTCTAGGTGGAAATCAGATGTTTTTCCTGGGATAAAATGTAGTCTATGTCAAGATACTGTCCTATAAATATAATTAAAAAAAAATCTGCTGCTTCGTTTCGACTTGAAAGAAGGACAAACAAACACGTTTATAATATTATTTGTAAATAGTAAAAGCGTGTTAAGATATATAAATTCTATCCAAAATTCACTTATATTAATCATTTTTAATGATTTTTCGGAGAACGCAACCACTAATAATTCCAGGTGTCATGTAATAAAATAAAAAATAAAAAAACATAACAGGGAAAATGCATTGTTTTATTTTAATACCAATTTATAATTCCTTGTATTTTGAAATAATTTTAAATACTTGCTTTTGATATCCTTCATGACCTGCCGTGGCAGTGTTGTTATTAACCTTTATGAAAATGTTTCAATACAAATTTAGTATTACACACATAATTATATACTATAAGCCATATTTTCCTTATATTATTTTAGCTCTTTACAGTTTGAATATGAATGCATTAGATAAAAATAGCTTTATTATTAATAATAATGATGTGTGCTTCAACATATTACGAATTGTTGATTAATTACAAAATTTTGATCTCATAATCTAAATGTAGCACTGATCACCGAGGCATTCTGCCGTCTGGTGTAGTGGTAAGTGACATGGTCACTACACAGGGGGGTCGCGGGTTCGAATCCCGCCAAGGGAAGATATTTGTATGATAAATATAAAAATACGATGTATCGGTAGTAGCCGTAGTGAAGTTTTATTTGCGCGGTGTTTTGTACAATGCATTTACTACGATTTGCGGAAGATTCCACATTACTCACGAGCAATGAGTGATGTTTGAAGGCGCGAATTCCGTGGGCGGTATTCGTGTGGGACTCGGATGAGTTAAACGTATTAAAAACTATCGATATGTGATTCGAAACATAACATCACTCGTAAGCTATGCTTTCCCAAAAACAATTCCTCGTAGCTTGGCTTTTTTTTGTAGTTCACTAATTATTAAAACAGCTTTTTGTATCTGAGCCTTTGATATTTGTTTAATTTTATTTCTCGTGTAGTAGATTCAACGTTTTATTGCAATTTGGAAGTTAACTTATCTACTCTATTAGCAAAGAACTGATATTAACCGACGAAAAAAAGGGATGGAAAAAAACTTGTATTAATATTATTTAAACGATAAATTCAATAATATGCATATAATTTCGCTTCACAATATTCTTTATTGCAGTTACATTTTCCTTGGATCTATAACCTTAGACCTATTTATATACAGGGTGTCCCAGAAAGAATGGATAATCCTGAAACACCTCATAGTAGAGCTATTGGGAACACAAAAAAAAATCTCAAGTAGTACCCAAATTACGTATATAAAAAAAATGGATATTTTCCATACTGCTGTACGTTTCTGGAATATACAACAGCTACAAATAAATGAAATCCATAGGCTTTTTGGTGTTATAATATTCTATATGGACTATATCTATATTAATATTATAAAGAGGAAAGATTTGTTTGTTTGTTTGTATTGAATAGGCTCCGAAACTACTAGACCGATTAGAAAAAATTTTTCACTATTTGGAAGCTACATTATTCCCGAGTGACATAGGCTATAATCTTTTTTGAAAAAAAATAGGGATCCTTACTAAAACTCTAACAATGTAACCCAAGGTGTAACAAAATTACCTAAAATATTCTTTACATCGCGTGCCCTGCGAATACTATTGATGATAGAATAAAATAATGTACTAAGACTTTGTAGACCACATTATTGTTTACAAAAAATTTCCGGACAGCATATGTCTAACTATTATAGTTATGCCGCAATAAGTGTTCTTTTATTAAAAAAAATAAAACAACGTCAAATATCGTTGAAATTTTTGTTAAAGACCCGAGCGGAGTCGGAGCGGGCAGCTAGTTAAGAAATATGTAGGAAATCGTATGAATAGCTAGTGTAATGTTTTATAAAAGTTAATCGGAACTTAAATTTTAATCAAGAAATTTGGTATTTTTTCTTTATTTTTAATTTTGAGTCCCCAATAGCTCTACTATGAGGTGTTTCAGGATTATCCATTATTTCTGGGATACCCTGTATAGTAAAAGAAGTGTACGCAAACCCCTATTTGAACTAAATTTTTTTATTTGTTAGTTTTTTATGTTTTATAACAATTCACATTCTATTCTACAAATCGCAGTCTGGAGAAATCGTCATTATTTTCAAGTTTAAACACTTCATCACAAATTAAAATAATTGAATATTATTTTGAATGAGCCTACCCAGTTTTAAATAGATACTAGAGCAGATACTACGGCACGTATAAACTGGAAAAACACCATTAATTCCTGACAAAAGTCTGAAAAAGACATTCGTATTGTTTTATTTTTATTATTTCTTTATTGCTTAGATGGTTGGACGAACTCACAGCCCACCTGGTGTTAAGTGGTTACTCGAGCCCTTAGACATCTACAACGTAAATGCGCCACCCACCTTGAGATATAAGTTCTAAGGTCTCAAGTATAGTTACAACGGCCGCCCCACCCTTCAAACCGAAACGCATTACTGCTTCACGGCAGAAATAGGCGGGGTGATGGTACCTACCCACGCGGGCTCACAAGACGTCCTACCACCAGTAAGATTAGGCAAAATCGCACCAATTTCCATTCACGTACCGCACCGTACACGTTAACCTAAAATGTATCAAATTGCCTACATAATAAGTATGTTTAACGTTCATCAAGGACTTTCTAGATAATTCTTCATCTCCGATGTCGCAAGATGAGATCAGAGAAGCGTAATATGCTCCCTCGTTTTACTCATAATTTTCAGACAATGACGTTACTACAAAAATAGCTTCGGAGTAACTCCGTAATTATCATGTGGGCTTGTATTGTTCGGCGACAATACGCGTTACGACTTTTCAACGTAGTGTAATATCATATTTTCTATTGTTCTTTCTTGTTTACTATTTAGTATACTTAAATGAATTCCACTAATATTACAAATACGAGAGTGAGTTTCTTTTTGTTCTTTATTTCTTAAATATTACTGCTGGTAGGACCTCCTGTGAGTCCGCGCGGGTAGGTACCACCACCCTGCCCATTTCTGCCGTGAATCAGTAATGCGTTTCGGTTTGAAGGGTGGGGCAGCGGTTGTAACTATACTTGAGACCTTAGAACTTATATCTCAAGATGGGTGACGCATTTACGTCGTAGATATCTATGGGTTCCAGTAACCACTTAACACCAGGTGGGCTTTGAGCTCGTCCACCCATCAGAGCAAAGAAAAAAGATTAGTGATGTTGCTAAAAACGAAAAACAAAAGTCAACATCCATTATTATGTACTATAAAAACTGAGATATTAGAAATCATATCTCAAGGTGAGTGGCGGCACTTAGGTTGTACATGTATGTCTATGGGCTCCGGTAACCACTTTGGGCCGTGAGCTCGCCCAACTATCTAAGCAATAAAGAAATGTATCTTGCAACGCAACATTGATGGCGACAGAGAGAAACAACATTTCGCGTTTGCCCAATTTTTTCTTTCTTTTCAATTAAACTATGAAACTAGATCAAAATTTTGCGTTGGTCGCGTTTGATACCTTACCTTCTTGCCCCTGACGACGCCGGGGACGAAAGGCTTGACCTCGGGCCGGTCGGGGGTCTCCAGGGCTTGCTTGTTGATGTGCTCTATCAGTTTCTTGCGATTCAACGGGCCGGTGGGATCCTTCTCGCAAGCGTAGTTGTTACGCTGTGACGGTGGAAGGAAATTGTCCTGTAATAAACATTAATGTATAATTAGTACATATTATCAAAAAAAAAACATAACGTTTATGTTTCATAAGTGTTTATTTAAGACGTGATATTTATGTGACATTTTTTTGTTCATTTGTATTGTTGTATGTTATACTAGTGGACCCAGCAAACTTTGTTCCGCCACACGGTTTGTTTCAAACACATCAACCGGTCAACTTCAAAATTCTACTATAATTAACCATAGAACATATTATGTTTAGCTGTCAGTTGCGTTTTTTTATTCCATATCAGTTGCGTTTTGCTATGCCACGTCCCATGGGAACGTGATAAAAAGTATCCTATGTCCTGGTTCTTATCGTGCTGCTGGACGAGGCGGGAAAATTGCTGGAACGTATTCTGGCTGCCCGCATCGTTCGGCACCTGGTCGGGGTGGGGCCTGACCTGTCGGCGGAGCAGTACGGCTTCCGGGAGGGCCGTTCGACCGTGGATGCAATTCTTCGCGTGCGGTCCCTCTCGGACGAGGCCGTTTCTCGGGGTGGGGTGGCGCTGGCGGTGTCTCTTGNAAAAAAAAAAAAAAAAAAATGTCCTGGTTCTAAGCTACCTCCTCACAAATTTTCAGCCAAATCAGTTCAGCCGTTCTTGAGTTATAAATAGTGTAACTAACACGACTTTCTTTTATATATATACTAGCGGACCCGGCGAACTTTGTTCCGCCACACGGTTTGTTTCACACACATCAATCGGTTAACTTCAAAATTCTACTTTAATTACCCATACAATATATTTCGTTTAGCTGTCAGTTGCGTTTTGTTATTCCATATCCGTTGCATTTTGTCATACCACGTTTTATGTCACGTCCCATGGGAATGTGATAAAAAGTATCCTATGTCCTGGTTCTAAGCTACCTCCTCACAAATTTTCAGCCAAATCAGTTCAGCCGTTCTTGAGTTATAAATAGTGTAACTAACACGACTTTCTTTTATATATATATAGATATTATATAGATATAATCGTTTTCTCGTTTTTTCAATCTATAAGTTCACCGCGGTTAATTTCTTTCCTTAAACAACTCTTGTCCACCTGGACGAGCTCACGGCCCACCTGGTGTTAAGTGGTTACCGGAGCCCATAGGCATCTACAGCGTAAATGCCGCCACCCACCTTGAGACACGAATTTTAAGGTCTCAGTTCAGTACAACGGCTGTCCCATCCTTCAAACCGAAACGCATTATGGGATACGCTGATGTGGCTGCCGCTTCACTGCGGTGCGTCGGGGATGTTTGCGGATGCGCGAATAGATAGCTTCGCAGCAATCATTCGTAAGCAAATTGCTTCCCTACAACCGCTACCTACGGCTGTTCGCCTCACGGATGGATCTGCACTGTCCAATAATGCAACACTGGACACGTGTGCATGTTGAGCACTCTGGATCCAGACCAGTCTTTAGGTTAAGGTAGTTTTCATGTTAATTTTGAGTTTTGTTTTATTATTTGATTTTTTGTTTTTATTATTATTATTATTGCTTTTGTTTTAGTCCGAGATTGTAGTTATTATTTTTGTTTAATTCTAGTATAAATGAAATGTTAATGCAGTGTAATGAAGTATAATATGGATGCAAAATCTGAAGTAAATGAAATAAATAAAAAATTGCTTAGGCAGAACTGCTTCACGGCAGAAATAGGCTGGGCGGTGGTACCTACCCGTGCAGGCTCACGGCTCAGACGTAGTCTTCTACCAACAGTAATAAAATATAAAATTGTCTGGAAGAAATCGCTCTCAGCGATAAGACCATCATTTGTGCACTTGTATTATGCGTTGTATGTTTTGCGTTTGTGTTTGTTTACAATAACTCGTAATCTACTCTCTATATTTGTTTTAAATGGACCATTTTGTAGAAACGGTTATCACGTTCATTACGAGCATTCTGTTTTAATGGGACCTCTTAGATATATATGCATCTCTTTCGTACACTAAATTAAATTGAAGTTACGGCCTTCGCACGACAGAGATGTATTGTTTTTTTAAAGCGCAGGAAGTATTAGAACTCATATACAGCATTTAGGATGTTTTTTTTCTCCTACCTATGCTGATAGCCTTGAGAAGCTCTTTCAGCTTCTCCTTGACGTGTAGGTGAGCTCACGGGGCTCTAACTGGGAGTGCTGCTAACAGTGGCCCTAGCAAGAGCAGTGCTTAGCAGATCGGAGATGCGTCTCACTGAGAAGTTCGGGCGAGAAACTCAGTGGGCTGTGTCTATAGGGTTAATTCACTCGTCGAGCCCTTCGTCGCAAGTGACGGGTTCGACGAGGACGGTGACCGGTGCTTGTGGTACCTAAAAGCACCGTTAATGAATCGGGAGGATCCGTAATGACGTGTTTAGAGTAGAGTATTAATAGCCTGTTAAATCTACGGGTGCGTTTTGGTTTAAATATTTGGTAGAAGTAATGTTACCGCTAATTCGTTAATTCGTTTTCTTGATCATTTTTCTCTGATTGATCGAAAGGCAACATTCAACTCGGATCGTCCGATGTGCTATTTAATTTCTCTTTACCTTAATGCCTGTGGAGGCCTATTATAATACGCTTTTACTAGCTTCAGACGTATGTATGTTAGTTAGTATGTAAAGGAATCTTTGAACATGATTTTGAGCCCCTTCAAAACGTCGGATTAACTCGAAATTTGGTATACTTATTAAGGACCGATGACAATTGAATATTAAAAAAAATTGAAAAAATTGAAATTCAACTAAAAAATGAAAAATAAATAGTAGTTTCAAAAAATGGTATCAGTACTTAGTTATAAATATTTTATGAACAGATATAAGTAGAAGGGTTATTTTGACTATATCAGGATATTGCTTTTCAGGAAAAGCACCCCACGCTTTTTTACAATAAAATCATTCTTTCTTACACTATTTTTCATTTATATTTATTAAAATTTACTTCAAATTTTTTAGTTGGTTTTTCTATAAAAGCGTATTTTGTTAGTTTTTTAAACTATTATTTTTCCTATTACATTACGAAAGACATGACAAGCATTGATTACTTCACGATCCAACGAATTACAAGCATTCGATGAACTTCTATCTTATCACGAACAGTTCACTAAAAGAGCTGACGGAACGTGCACTATCACATAAATTTGAATTCAATAGCATAACGTTGCTTATCGTGTCGATTCTTATCCGATACCGATAATTTAAATGCTATTAACATGCGGTCAGATTGTAAAATTAATACGATTCAATTTCGGAACTTCTTTAGCCACGACGTTTGTTTGCATGCGTGAATAAAATATAATATGCTTTATTGTAAAATTTGTATTTTATTTAAAAGGTCTGGGCATAAACTTCGTGAGCCGCAATGTAAAGCAAAATTCACAATAAAAAGGAATAAAGACCACTTCAATGACACATTTAGACACAGCCTTCTTATAACGGGCTTATAAAGCTCCAAGCTGTCTTCTCATTTAGAATAAGATCAATGGTGTTATGGTGGGTGGAAGAGCTCACAGCCCACCTGGTGTTAAGTGGTTACTGGAGCCCATAGACATTTACAACGCAAGCGCGCCACCCACCTTGAGATATAAGTTCTAAGGTCTCAGTATAGTTACGTGTTTATTTCGTGTTTTTATTGTCATTATATTATGTCTAAATTTTCGAATACATTATAGTCTCTGTAACCATATAAAAGTGACAATATTTTTCAATGAGCACCGTCAAAAGTTCATATTTTACGTAACATCCGAGATCTTTGATGATAAATTATTTATTTTTTAAATCGAAAGATATTTTAGAGATATTTAAATGCAATGACTTATTTCATTCAGCCATCTTATTTCTGAGGTGGGCATTAGGAAACGTAGTTTTTATTATTCAACTACCCACGAAGGCGGATAATTTAAAATTAAACTAACCTTGGGAGGTTCTAGATTGAATTTTCAGTAGCTACAGTATGGACTAAAGCTCCACTAAACTATTACTAAATAAATGGACCAAATCAACGGGGACTCCGATATATATTAACACCAGACAGATTGTGAGTTCATCTATCTGTACATTCATTTTATTAAATCTATTTGGCAGACCTAGGACGTCTACGCAATAAAAACAAACAGAAATGAAAATGTCGTCACGAATAATTATATAACCGTTGTCAAGGCGGACAACATATACGCAACGCGGCAGAAATAGGTAAGAATCTAAATATATCATCACTGGTCTCATAGTCATCTTTTCCACCGTAAAATAGTCAACGCTGAATGTCTGGCGGCGGTTAATTAGCCATATAAGGCTTCAGCGGCCTCGAAGAAATAAATCTCTTCCAAAAGCACCGCCGTGGAAGGACGCGGGAACCCACCATGTTTATCATTATATACCACATTACCGACGCAAGAAAGGTCTTATACTTTGATTATATACACGTCTGTATATAATCAAAGGTCTTATAGTATCAGTTGATAATTACACGGATATTAGAGTCTATTAATCCAATTCGCTAGGTCACGATAACAATTTACACAATATCTTTTATCGCGACCTTGAAGCCATCGTTTACTTTTGTAAAACGTGCAAACAATATATTCAGGTGCGGAAATTTAACAAAAACCTGCATACATATTTATGCAATACTAAATTATTATTACGTTACTCCGATCCGCAATTTTAGTGGTAGGATAAGTTTGAGTTTGGTTCCACCGAGATAGAACATCAAAATTGTATAAATTTAATTGAGATTTCGACCATGATAAAACTAACTAACAATTCCATTGGATAATCTGTAATATTTAAAAATAGTTACAAAACAAAACAGTTGGGTATCGTTTACTCCTTGGTTTGGCAAAAAAAATTTTTTTTTTTTGTGTTAGCTTTTATGTTTTATATTAAACTTCTATGGACACGGTCAGTTTTTTTTTAAATGTCAACTGTTATTGCTATCCAAAAGAGAGAATATAATAACATAATATGAATTTGAATATTGAAGTGTCAGTGATTTTGGTTGAAGTCGACCATGAGAACTTACACTAATTCACATAATAGTTCCTCATACAATATATACATGTTTCTGTACAATTTTGTGACAGATATTTGTTTATAAACAAACAACTTAACTTTGAATGATAAACGAATCATAAAACTAATTTGGCTCTGGGCCAGATGTCTACTTCATTCACATGATGCTAAAAAAGAACAATCTGCAGTAGAACACATGACAATGGTGTTTTGTTTATATTGTTTGTGTTCCAATGTTTCACACAGAAAAAGAGCTAAGATATGGTGTTTTTGGTATGCAGAAATAGTCATTAAAAACTAAATTTTTACAAAATGCTGCACATTTGACAATTATTTAATATGTTATTTTAAATTACCAATGTATGGTGATGACAAAAGGATGATCAATTTTAATATATTTGGTAATGTACGAAAGGTTATGGATATGTGTTAAATTTAATAATTTGTGATGCGATGAGTCAGTCATTAGCAGTACTAGAGTACTTTAGTCCATACATCTATTGTTATAGTAGATTATAGCGTTTGGAGATAACAAGTAGGGAACTGAAAACAACACAAACTTCCCGAGGACTGAATTATCATGCAACTGATGCATAGCCCACGAAATTGAGATCATAGAGAAGTAGTATATGGAGGTAGTTGCAATTATTAAAACCAATTGATAATAACCGAATAGAACAATAAACATCTTTTGATCTCATCTCATCACCATGCAATTATATTTAATTTATACACTTGGTCGTAATTTTGAAAATCCATCAATGCAGATAGAAGGCAATTGATTAGCTCAAGGTGATGTACACAGAAGTAATGATTATGTTGCAACAATAGAAGGCAAGTCTTTTGAATGTCAGCTTGACAATTACATAGAATATTTTTGTACCACAACAGCCTTCACAGTGTATTTTATGACTGTCTGACTATCTTAAATATTTTTCTAACATTAAATTTTCAAAGTTAATTAAGTTTTCCAAAGTTAGTAATTTTTATCAAAAATTCCTTTAACTTCAGCAAAAAATTACCCAAATAAAATTTGATTGATTTAAAAATGACATCTATTTTATCTTTCAATGAAAACTATAATTGAACTACTTAAGTTATTTTGTTAAGTTTTATTAATTGATGTACACATACTCAACAGTCATCTTTTTACAGAATAAATTTACAAAAATTTTAACTCTGCAGTTTTAAGTACGCTCTTGAGGCACCAAATCTGCCGCAAAATCTGCTTAAAAATGTGGCCAAGGGTTAATATTAAAATTAATATTGTCACTGAAAAGCTAGTTGTTCTTTGCTAATACATTCATCTTATGATTTATTACAAATTGTGTAATTTTAGTTTAATGGTCATTTGTAAATAAATTTTAAAAAAGTATCTTGACTTTGCTTTCGTCTAAAGACTGTTTTCCTCTGTCATTCCTTTAGTTATGCAAGCAAAATCTCTTTAAAAGTAATTAATAATTTTTATCATGCATAAAAGTACAGGGAAACCCTTATACAGCTTGTTATTTAATGGTCCAAGTTTTAGATGTGTTAGTTTTTATAAGAATAGAAACAAGTTGAACTCTAAGTTGTTTTGGATGAAATGGAATTTTATTTGGCATTTGACATGAAAAATTGTGCAATGCACATGCTCAATAACTGTTCTTGTAACAATTCATCTAAAACTGTTCACACAAACATAATACTTTAAAATTGATAAATTTATGTAATATGTGCATTTAGTAACCTATTCTGAAAGTGGCACAAAATTTATTATTAAAAGAACAAATATTTTATTATTGAAAATATTCTTTCGTAGTGTTGTCTTAAAAAATAGGTACTGATCTTCAATAACTGTTAATTTTAAGAAATGTATATGACATTTATACACTAGCCAATGTATTTTATTAAATTGTGACTCTCTAAGGGAGGTTGTATGAAAGTTACTTACGTCAGGATCAACCTCCTTTGCCAGCATGGTCAGTTCTTCTTGAGTGAGCTTGGACAGGAGCTCGTCCACGTCCACTTCGTCGTATGTAGACAACTCCCGCCCGTACAATTTGGCCGGGGTCGTCATAGTTGTAGTCTTTGTTGAGGATGATTTCTGCGACCAAAAATTCCCTTTTAACTTCACGATCGAGTACACACGCACGTATTTGTTTGTTTTAATAACTTTTGAGAACGAAAATTACGTAACATACATTTTTAGGACACCGAAATTAAGGTTTAACCATGATTTTTTGACAAGACACGACGGTCGGCGTTTACCACACCCACAATTTTAATTGACTTCTGACTTTAAACATGTAAAATTAAGAGATTGACAAACTTAAACACTCTTTATTTGATAATAGTATAAAAATAAAATAATTTATTGTACTCTTACATTTAAAACAAATAAAATGCTGTAGACTGTAAAACCCACGACAAACACTGACTTCGCAAGCGCCCTCTTGAAATGACAAATAAGGACTAAGTAAAACTACATAGAGTAAACGAGACAGATGTGAAACTTCATTGGAGAATTTACTTAATGTATGAACGGGACAGAAAAATTGACGGTGGGATTGGTGGAAAGCGGAAGAAGTTATTGACTACCTATACTTGGTACCGGTTTCTTATCAAAAGCGACAAACACAAAATTAAAAACGAGAAGTAAAAAGTATACAATTATATTGTTGTATTATCCGTGATGCTTTTATGGAATTTCAACTGTAGTCATTTCATTCAACTGTATATTATGCAATTTGAATGACATCATATAGGTACCTACTATACGAGCCGCAGACTGAACTGATAAAAATTAAATGCCGTTTATGTTTTACTGACGAATCATACCTCGTAGCTTTAAATAACTGATAGCATTTGCGGTTCAGCATAATTGGGTTGAATGCTGTCACTTGTTTGATTAGTTTGTAATTGATATTTCTGGTATTTTTTATCTATTTATTTATTGAATACCCACCAGGTAAGGTAGTTACTGAAGCATATCATACAACACAACATTAATTCCGTCATCAATCTTAAGACATTAGATCAAAGTTTAAATTTTAGGTATTATATAACAGCCATCCCACCCTAAAGCCAGTATCTACCTACTTTGTATGAAACACCTGGCCTAATAACTTTATTCCTTTAATATGACTTAGAAACATGAGAATAGAGAATACAGACACATCACGAACCGTCACCCCCGTTGAAACATGAAACGTAAATTTAAATTCTATTGGAATATTCTCCCAGGCAGAACACTTTACTACTGAAAGACCCCTTAACTCTGCACCATATACCTCTGCCGTGCCCGATTTAACATAAAAGTGTTATATTCCACATAAATGTGGAACATAATACTACTAAGTAAGTCATTGCAGAAATAAAATGAAGTAAAATTGGGTTTCTATAAGAAAAACATGCAATTGTCGGCTATCGTTTGACAAGAACATTAATCACTGACTTTCGATTAAATTATTTTTTGTCAGTGTGTTTTAGAAACTTGTCTCCGTCGTAATTATCAAGTGAAAGTTTACCTTTTACTTGATACGCTGTCAATTTAAGTTACTGTTGCTTTGGTTGCCATATACATAATAAAGAATTTATTGAATGTTTTTTTTTTATTATTGCATTAAGTAGCCGTTTTTTCGACTGTATATAAATTAATGGTGATTAAGATACAAACATAAACAATAAGGTTGCAACTATTAGTGCGCGTGATTAGCCGGCTTGTTTTCTACTTAACAAAAACAAAACCCTACCTAGTGTTCATAATAAATATGTTTTTTTTATTGCTTAGATAGGTAAACGAGTTCACGGCCCACCTGATGTTAAGTGGCTACTGGAGCCCATAGACATCTACAACGTAAATGCCGCCACCCACCTTGAGATACGAGTTCTAAGGTCTCAGTATAGTTACAACGGTTGCCCCACCCTTCAAACCTAAACGCATTACTGCTTCACGGCAGAAATAGCAGGGTGGTGGTGCCTACCCGTGCGGGCTCATAAGAAGTCCTACCACCATTTGAAAGTTTATTGTACGTGCGTAAAAATATTGAAGAATTCCCCAGAGTCTGCGATTTGCACAATGTGAACACTAGGAACAAACATAGGCTTGCGTTGCCGGCGGCTCGAATTAAGAAAATAAGCAACTCTTTTAGGGGGCAACTTTTCAACAAGATCCCACTAAACGTTCAATTACTACCTGTTCATAGATTTAAGAAAACTGTTAAGGAACGTTTGTGCAACAAGGCATATTATAAAGTTAAGGATTATTTACTAGATGGCACTACGTGGGAAGGAGGCGCTCGCTCCTAGCCTTTTCATTTTTCATTATTATTATTATTATTTTAATTGTATTTTTTGACCCGTTTTTTCTTTTATTGTAAATATTTTTATTTATTTAAAAAAAAGAAAATATTTGAGAAAAAACAAAAAAAAAGCCCGCTGAGTTTGTTTCGCCGGTTCTTCTCAGGACTGTAGCTTTTTTTTTGGAACCGGTGGTAGAGTTAACATTGTTATTGGATTGGATTGTTGTTGGATTTTGACATTCAACAAGTGTGTCATACTGACTTCTGTTGAAATAAATGATTTTGAATTTGAATTTGAATTTGATATTGTGGAGGAACGCAACGCTCCCAAATTATTATTATATTTATTTACTTCGCTTCACGAAATCATCAGATACCACCCCGGCTCGAATATTTAACTGTCTTGTATTTTGTTATTTTAATGTAAAACATCAATTTAATGTGCATCGAGAATACAGTTTGATAATTTAAAATAATTAACAGGAAACGCACGCTTATAACGCCCCATAGTAGTTGTCACAAGATAAATTATATTGGATTTAAAACGTTCAGTAGCAATCATTATTAGTTTTCACCATAGATAATAAATACCATGTACTTCAATGATAAATACATATAATATCGTGTTTTCGGTAAAGCGAAGATTTGGTATATGATAGAAGAGTATGGAAGGAGAAAACATGTTGCGCCGACCCCAGGTGACTGGGAGAATGGCAGGATAATGATGATCGTGTTTTCGGTAATAAGTGACAAACTGTAAAATATTGATGATATTTTTCTATGTGATAATCAACAATACAATGATCAAAAAAAGTATGTGCATGTTATATTTTAGAAAATTATATTTAATTTCCTTAAAAATCACAATTCTGAAACAAAATCATAAAACAGAATAAAAAATAGAAAACAAAAGGACTGGAAATGCAATAATACAATTTTATTTAATCAACAACGACGCGTAAATGATTCTGAAATAACAAAAGTTTTGATTCGTTTGAGTTCTTTTTAATTTTAATTTCTTTTTTATTGCTGACGCTGCTAATTAAAAAAGTTTTGACAGCAGCTTGAATTTGCCTCTGGAATTATTAATGTCCATGAGCGACAGTAATTACTGACCGTCAGATGAGTCACATACTCGTCTGCCTACAGTGACAAAAACATTTTACATACATCTTTTTTTTTTCATAGATTTTTTTTACACAGCATATTAAGCATTGAAAGGTTTTATTTCAAATACCGTCAAAACCGTTTACTGCGACATCGTTTAGAACAACATGTCGGTTATAATAATCTGAACAAAGGTCCCGGCTGAATGCTATATTATCGCCTTATTAAAAACATTGCTTTATACGACATTGCTAAGGCGGGCGGGCCCATGGCGCGCACATGGTGGTACCTGGGTCCCCGCCCAGCCGGAGTGCAGGAGCTCGTTGGGGTTTAGTCGGTAGTCGTTAAGCTGGGCGGGTTTGGCGAGAGCCGAACTTAGCCCAGCGCGCCTTTCTAAAGGCGTAATCTCCTATGACTAATTGGGGGAGGGCGCGAACCTCGGTTCGCGACCTCCCTCTTTTTCCACTGGAGGCGCGGAGTTCGACATCACCTGGTCAAGTCGGTCGGGGTATCCGTAAAGACTGGGATTCCCCATCGATACCAAAAAAAAAGGTATATCAAATTCTGTTAGATAAAATCTGTATTCTGTATTGAAGTTCTTTAATGTTTGTCTACATGTAGTGTAAATTTTATAGATAGCGTTTACCTAGTCCGTTTTATTTGTAAGAAAATGAAAAGAACGCAACACAAATGATATACGCGACAATAAAATAAAAATCAAAGCTAAATCAAAACTATTTGCTTGCTCACAAATAGTGTAGTGTTTCATAAAATCCAACTATTGTAAAGACTTAATGTCATTTTAGATCATCCGCATCGCCAAATATATCATTTCGTGTACTCATTTAATTAATAAGGAAGAGCCAACTTTGAAGACGAGGTAGTGATTGATTAGAATCGATAAACGTTGGTTCCTGTTGACCACGCGATTCACAGCCCGCTGGCGGTTCGCCAGTCTGCTATAATTGGTGGTAGCCGCACCAGAGACAGACGGTATTCTTAGCCGCTCGGGCACTGGCCTTCCCGCTAAACAAACGCGATTCCAACAGGAAAAATAATAAAATCGCACAGTTTGCACTTGACCTAGTATCGGTTAGGGATGTCCCGTTAACGATTCGCAAAAAGGTGAATGAACTCACGACCTCTTTAAATACAGGCCGGTTAAAAATGTTGGAAAGCTACAAATTGAACTGTCATTTTGACGACTACCGCATCTCAAGAGTATTTCTATTAATTTTTGATCGATCGCCACTGAAATTACATTTTAGCGTTTTATTCGATGAAGTTATCATGTCTTTGCCGTATGGTCCGCCACAGCCTGTTTCACCGTTGATTAGAGGTTTGAGATTTGCCTTTTTAATAGCAGGAATTATATATGCTCGGGGCAAGCAAAAGCTTTACAACAAAATGGAAGCATCGTATAGAGAAGAAGAAGCAAAGAAAAAAATTATCCGCGATATAGAACTAGCGAAATTGAAGAAGAAAATAGATGCCGAAGAGAAAGAAACAATCAGATTGTTGGAAACGGGAAAACTATTTGAATCTGACAAAAAATAAAGTACTTTCTACTTAGTTTTGTTTATTTACTGCTAAAATACAAGGAGACTGGCCCCAAATCGGAATGTCTTTCTGTTCGTATAGAACAAAATGTACAGTTTTAATATAATCTCATCAATGAAGGCGGCGTCCCCAGCCC